AAGCCCTTCTGAAGCCCCAACAAGCCGCCTTGAAGCCCCCTTCACCTTGAAACCCCCTTTAAGTCCTTTTGAAACCCCTTGAAGCCCTTGAAGCCCTTCTGAAGCCCCCTTCAACCTCTTTGAAACCCCATTTACCTTAAAGCCACCTTTAATCCCTTCTCAAGCCCCCCTTGAACCCTTTTGAAGCCTTTCTGAAGTCGTCCCCTTGAAGCCGTTCTCAAGCCCTTCAAGCCCTCTTCGAAGCCTTCACCTTCAAGCCCCCTTCAAGCCCTTCTCAAGCCCCTTTGAAGCCCTTCTCAAGCCGCCTTGAAGCCCCTCTTAAAGCCCCATTTGAAGTTCCCTTGAAGACCTTCTCAATCCCCCTTGAAGCCCCCTTCGAGCCCTTGAACACGTTTTACTGGTCTGTCTCCAACTGGAGACTTGCTTGTTACTGGTGGTCAGGTCAATTTATCACTTTGTCTTTCGTGTTGGCCTGTTCTTGTTGGTTTGGTTTTTGTTTTTGTGTTTTTTTGTTTTGTTGTCACTTTTGATTTGTTTTGCTTTTGCTTTGGTTCTTTTGATTTGATTGGCATTGTGATGACCTCATTGGACTGTGTATCAGGTCTTCTCCGACACCGAATTCCTGGCGAAACTAAGAACAGGAAAAAAAAATAATTTTCGGATCCTTCCTGGTGTCGGCAGACCATGGACATTCAGAAAACACTCGGGCATTCGAAGCCAAAACTGGACCCTCCCACGGAACCATTTTTTCGATTCAAGGAATCCACTTCCTGACCCCTTTTCTGATACGTTTGCTTTGCACGGGGGTCCAAAACTGGACCCCTCAACAGATTTTTTTTCCGTCCAACGCCTCTTGGCTTCCGCCAGGTCGTTCTCAACGCAGATTGAATGTTACACATTGCTTAAATTCATTTCTTGAAGCAGTGACGTTTCCATCTTCACAGAAGGTGGGCTGCAGTTGACCAGACCAGTGCACAGTCCAAATAGCCGCAACTATGCCGGAGGAACCAAACAAAGAAAACCGCTCAACAGGTTAATCCGGTGCCTTGTCGGAGGTCGGGCTTAGGCCAGCTCATTGGTGGATTTTTCCAGAGGATATGGATGACCTTGATGGCTTGCACATTACAGACCACCTGTCAAGTACTGGCCGCGTAGTGTTGAAACAACTTACGGCACTTGGAGCCTCGCGTGAACTTCATCAGGGCTAAGTGGAATTCAAGTGGCAAGCAATTCAGCCATTCAACCTGCTCGAATACTTTTGCGGATACTAAGGCGAAGACAAGAGACAGGATCAAAAATCAGCATCCCATCACACTTGGATGAAGTGGGGTTGGCTTCGGGTGTGCTGGAAGCATTGATCCAACCATCCGAGATATTTACCCCAAAGCTTTGCTGGAAAAAGATCCGTTTCAGGCGGCAGCTCTCAGACGAGTCGTCGGTTGTCGAATTCTTTTATTTCGCTTCGGTGTCATTTGAGACGTTTGTTTTTTGAAGGACGTGGCGTTTGCGTTTCCATCGAAGTATTTCAGTTTAAAGTACTACCAGTCAGGGTATCTAGATTTTATAGATCCCTGTACTAACAAGTTTGCATGCACGGTTTGTTAAGCTTGGAATAAAATTGGTTGAACCGAGATCGAAAGATGCACGCTTCAAAGGAGGAGTGCGATTGTTTTGGCATCGCACTCATGTCAGTATTCACCCATGAAAATCATGGGATGACACGCACAAATCGAGAGTGTAGGACCTGCTTCATGTCACGGCACATGCCACGTGAGATCTGTGTACATTGAGGCCCTGAGTTTCAAAACAATTGCAGCAGCGCTCGATTTCGCCCTGAACCTTTGCAGTTTGAAGAGTTTCAAAAACTAAAGTGCCCGTTCGTATTCGAATCATTCTCAACACCACAGGCATGCATGTTTTGCTTGCAATGCGTGTTTCGGCTCCAGATTGGGTTGTTCACATTTTTGCCCACCTCATCTTGCGCGCTTCAAAGCACCTTGGATATAAACTTAGAGAAACATGAGATGATGACAACCCATAATATCAAACATCTGAGAAAACAGATTTAATGAGCATTGAAACGCCTTGCCACATTTCCAGATTTGGGTCCCTTGCAGCTCAGGTTGCCCCCGCCGGGGAATGGTACAAAAAATTGACAAAATGATTCACGAAACTGTTCCAAAACATTCGTGCAGGTCCATTCAATCATGTGGAGTAAACAGTAATCAGTAAACCATCCATTCCATTTGGACCCATACCTCCTTCACTATCACATAATTTCGAAGAAAACTGGGTTTTCTTGCTCCCCATGCAGCATCTTGAGAGCCCCTTGCATCCTGGCTCTCCAAGATACGCATCCGGATACCAAAAAAGGACACCATTCACCATGTCTCAGGTCTTACTGATGTGGTTGGGAATTAATACTCTTTTCCACCTCAAATCTACCCCTTGGGTATTGGTCGCGCCATTGGGTACCCCCTTGTTTTTTATTCCCAAGGTCATGCCAAGCATCGAGGAGCTCAAGAAGTTGATCAAAAACCATGAGGCTTGGTATCCAAGACGAAGAAAACAATTCAGGAACTTATGGATAAGATCGATTTTTTCGCAATGTTTTTCCAGATTTTCAACTTTTGAAACATCTAATTTTTGGGTGCCATAATTACTATTTGCTTCTTGGCTTCATGTTTTCCAGAAATTTTCACCAGATGTTTGTCAAATCTTTCCACAGTGCTCGGTGGTTTCAAATGTTTGTTATGTTTCCCTTACTTGGGATGATGACGACGACAACGACGATGACCCAACATGACATATACTATATTACGACGATGGTAGCGTTTTTCTCAGCAGGGTTGAAACCACCAACAATGGCCGAAGCGGCAAGGACTCGAAATTCGAACTCACCCCCAAAATGTGGTGGCTGCGACCAACGGCCCGGCCATCTACCTATGGTTTTAACCTGCACTGGTAGCGTTTGGGGAAATTCTGGTGGTTGTGTGAGGAGATGAACAACCAATGGGAATATCAAGAAAAACAAAAAAAAATGATCTCTTCCGTGATGCAACTGATCATGGCCAACAAACTTGCAGATTGGATTAATGTCCAGTTGATGTAATTGTGATATTTTGATGGGATACCGGGATATCCTCCATTCCATTGAATTGTTTTAAGGAAAAATACTACAGGAAACCCCCTTAGTTTGATTGGAAAACACCCATGGGATTCCTGTACTCCTTGGCTGCGGGTGGGCATCCACACAGCTGTTTGAAACCAATTGGTGAATGGATGATTTGAGAATTTTTCATGGGAAACAATTCAATCATTTGTTATCATTCGTATGTTTTGTTATCTTTATTTTGAAGTGGGAAGGTTTACAGGTAAGCAGAAGAGAACACAACAATGAATGGAGCATCATGTACAGGCGATGGAAGAACACTGTCCAGAGTAAGCACCAAGAAGAAATGGAAACCCAATGATACACGTATTTTTTTTTTCATTAGCATTGGCAGCATTGGTTTCAAAAGTTCCGTGCCCATCCGTGCCTCATAATCCCCTAGAAACCAAGGTTTAGTAGGGGATGAAACCACATATTTGGACCATTTAAGGGGTGTCTACTATTAGCGGATGGGATTATTCCTCAACTGGTTGAGTAAATTGAGGATAGTTTCTGTTTTTTATTGGGTTTAGTTACCACATTGAACAGTAACACTACCGAAAAAGAGCTCTAAGCAATACGGCAACGTAGGTGAAGATTGATGATGCCGAGCAAGAGGTCGCAAACGAACCAAACAAGAAGAAAAAGAAGGCTTGGCAGGGACGAAGTGACTACATGTGCCACGGTCATGATCATCATAAGGAATCCCATTCATGGTGGGATGACCATACCCCATATTACAGCAGAATAACAGATCTTTTCAGTACCTTTCCCCAATGTGGCTGTGGAAAGTCATCCCTTAAGATTGCAAATGTTTGTTTGAACATTTGAACATGAAAAACCATGAAATTCCAGGATTTTCCCATACTTTTAAGGCGTGAGCCTGGGAGGACTTGGAAAACGCCTTGAAGAAACTTCAAAACGATGAGAAGTACCTCAAGGCCTGATCTCAGTCTGGGATTCACTTGACAGATGGTTACATCCATTTGGGGATGTAACAAAAAACCACCCTGAAAAAATGGGTGATCTACCAATTTTATCCAATTTTGGGATGGATTCATGTGAACGGGTCTGCCACATTGTGACATTTACCAATCACCACCGGGATATCATGGGATATCATCAAAGATATACGGTAGATGGGTTTAGCACCAAGCCTAGTTCCGAAGCGTTGAGACAAGCCTAGTTGAGACGACATTTTTCTGGATGGTCCAAATGGAAGCACCAATGTCGGGCTTTGGGTGGATCCTATCGTGTGCAAGTGTTTGGTTCAAGAATCAGAGAGCCTGTGCGGATAGATCGGATGCACTTACTGTATTTGTTTCGCACACTGCGGGAGCTACATTTTTTCTGATTCGGCAATTTATGAAACCATTTGAGACACAGGTCTGGCCATTTCCCTTCAACGAAAACCAACATTTTTTGCCTGCTCAAAGGATCCCTTCCCCACCAGAAATCATGGCATTGAAGGCTAAGGAAGAGGTCAAAGCTGCCGAAGCGCAGGCGAGGGGCGGCGCTGGGACGCTTGAACATCCGAAACATAGTCAGCAAAAAAAGATGTTTGGGTACTTTCCAATGTGAATGTAGTCGGACCAGTAGACCATGTCGAAGGATGCCCCTTTGTTCGACTTGCATGGGTTGCCATCTGTTCTGAGCACTGTAAGAGTCCTCCATGACGCGTGGGATCGTTGGTAGGCTCAAAAGGAAGCAGAACGTGCTGCATTGAGACTTTGGTGCATTTCTTTGGGAACACCGACAGGTGCACGGTAACCATGGGATGAGTTTAAGTAATAAACATGCAACATATCATTCGCAGCTATTAAAAAATGATCCTTCTTGCAGGGTATTTTAGCTATGTTGCCAGGGTCTGGGCAATACTTCATTAAGGTGAGTCACTGGTCAACTGTTTCCAGCGGATGCAGGGAACAGTATGGAACAGTTACAGGGTTTACACCCCGTTTTCAATGGTGAGACTCCGGATATTTCCTGTACATCCCCGAATCCAAGGATCCGTTCAATGCTTTGCTTCCCTCAGCATGTACTATTGCTGTCACTGGAGCCATTAAAGAAACCCTGGTTGATTGGTATAGGGACTTATGCTAGCTAATTTAATTATTGGGGATTATGATAACGCATCGTAGGGAAACCTATTTATCAACTAGTATAATGATCGGGTATTTTTGGTGGCTCAGCTAGATGCTGTTCGTCTGAGGAACGGGAAGGCAGCAGACAAGAAGGCAGGTTCGAGAAGCATGCTGCGAACTTGCGTGAGTTAGCTTGACATAGTTCGACTTCTGATCCTACCTGGTCTTTGTGCTTGCTAATTTTCCAGATGTGGTTGTTGTCACAGTTTGATCCCCAAGTACATTCAAATGGTTACCCTCTGGTAAACTAACGTAACTATGGAAAATCACCATTTTGAATGGGTAAATCAACTATCAATGGCCATTTTCAATAGCTATGTTAGTTTACCAGAGGGTATCCTTCAGATTTTCGGACATGTGGCCACAGAAAATCAAAGGCCATAGCAACCCCGAAATCAACAAAGTAACCTGAGAAGCCTGAACTTTGTGGGCTTCAACAAAAGTCTAACCTCTTGGGTGACTTGGGTACCCTATGTTCAGGAAACACTCGTATATATATATATATGTATACCTGTATACCTGTATACCTGTATACATACATACATACATACCTACCTACCTACCTACCTACATACATACATACATACATACATACCCTACAAACCCGAAAGACCAGTTTAACCTGTCCACATTGGTTAAGAACAAGTTGAACTTGATCATTTGAAATTGCGCTCTCTGATCACATTTCTAAATCCTTCTAACCACTTGCTGTCAACACTTCAGCAACATCACTGTTTTGAATCTATCTTGAGAGAGACTTGGTTCATAGAGACATGCATTTTGTGCTATGACAGACTGCATTTGATATTGGGAACCTGCAAAAAGATGGAAACCATTCGCCTGTTAATGCATGTTCATTGAGCGTCCCCGGATCATTCACGGGTGCTTCACGGATGCTTCAACGGGTGTTTCACGGGTCGCTCACGGTACAAAATCAGTTTTTCGGGTCTCTAACCCAGTTTTTTGTGTCTCTAACACACTGGTCTCACGGGTGGTTCACGGGTGTTTCACGGGTGGTTCACGGGTGGTTCATGGGTGGTTCCCGGGTGGTTCATGGGTGGTTCACGGGTCGTTCACGGACGGTTCAAGGGTGTTTCACGGCTTGTTTCGGGTTGTTGACGGGACGTTCACGGGCTGTGGGCAGCTGTAAGGGGCGATTGCAAACAATGAAATTGATATAAATTGATACCAAGAGCCCTGGAACTCAACCAGTTGGGAGAATGATTTGCAGTGATTTGTCGATAAAACGCATTTGTCCACTGCATCAACGGAGCTTTGGCAAAAATTAGCTCAAGTAAAGTACGTTCTTTTACAAGTAAAACATGTTCATTGAAACGATCAAGTTTAACGAGGTCTTTGGTTCGCAATATATATATATATAATACATTTATATATATAAATGTCTATAAATATGTATACGTCTATAGCACCCCAAAAAGATCTACCAGTAGAATCCTGCCAAAATCATGGTCAATAAAAAAAATTCAGGCCGATGCCAAGGGCAAGAAGAAGGAGGAGACCAAGGCCGCTCCGAAAGTGGATGCCAAGGTGGATGAGGCCTGGCAGATGTGCAGCAGATGTGCTTCGGTGACCCTGGTGAGTTATCTACAAGGTGGTGCCCCAGTTCGTTAGCTAAGTTGGTGAACATAACTCCCATAACTATGGTTTATGGTAGATATAACTATAGTTAATGGGGTTTATAAACCAACTTATAACTGGGGGGCACCATCCTGTAAGTGGCGTATCCCATTAATTTATGGCTTATAGATCCAGTTACTAAGAGTTATCCGTGGGATAATCCTCCAAGTATCCGGAAACTTGGAGCCCCCTGACAAAAGAGAAAATGACGAAATAGGGGCCCCATTTTGCCACGTTTATGGAAATACAGTACTTTTGGAACATCATGTCACACGCTCTGACAAAAATGCAAGGGGTTCCATCTGGAAATCTGCCAAATACAGGGTCCGACTCGGAAATCAGCCAAAATCAGTCAAGGCCTAATCGACCAACCTCCCGTTTCGGTTTTTCGCATCAGCGAAACACACAGAATACCATACCAGCGACAGCCAAGGCTACCTTCAAAGAGATCGACGAGGCATTTGCTGCGAGTGGAAAGGATGCTGCTGAGAAGAAGGCTGGGAAGCTGCGACCCCCGAATTTCTGATGCTCGTGTGGGAATGTTGAACCCATCCGTTGGTTGATCATCTTTTGATTGAAATGGCACTTTTGGGGGTTCACAGTTTATACCATAGTTTCAGACGCAACCATTTTTTTGCTTGGGAGGCAAACACCTGAGCAAGAGCATGAATTAGTTACGCAAAGCTTGGTGGTATCTCCATTTTTTGCCAACAAAAATCCCCATGTCTATGAGTGAAAAAATCCCCATGTGCATACAGGGAACACTGGCAAAACTCCTCATGTTTCCAGGTCAAATCTCCATTGTTTGATCCCAATTTTTGCTGCTGAATTCCTGTCGCCAGGCCACGGCCATTAGCACCCTGGAGATGCTGGCAGCAGCCACTCCCTTCGTGCTGCCCAGGCTGGGACAGTGGTGCTGTGTCCCCAGAAAATGATGCTTGATTTGAAGGTATTTGAAAGGGGTGTGAACTTCATTGGCCTTAAATTCACATGAAAATTTGGCACTTGCAATAATATTTCATTCAGATTTGTGTAGCTTCCGTGCTTGCCAAATTCTTGACCCCATCCACATATGGCGGTCAAGCACCGGTGATGTCTAAGGCACGCAATGGGATACAACTGTTGTATCCCATTGCGTGCCTTAGACATCACCGGTGCTTGACCGCCATATGTGGATGGGGTCAAGAATTTGGCAAGCACGGAAGCTACACAAATCTGAATGAAAGTAACAACTACTAGCCGCTACTAGCCATATGAGCAGTGGCTGCTAAACCCTTGTTGGTTGATGATTGTAGGGGATTATATATAACCAACCAAAAAAAAAGGGGAACTTGACTAAAATTCATCAGGGAAATCCCTAGAAAAACCAAGCAGTATATTTTGGGACAACACAGGGTTTTGAACTGAAGTTGAGGGTGGATTTGTGACCAACCAATCTCTGGCCTCATCACGATAAGAAAAATCATGAGGGTTCAACTCCGTACCTCATAGGTAACCTCCCAATCAAGAATGGCTTATTAAGCGCTTATGAGCCACCAACAGTTGCACGTCACTAAGAGCTCATGAACCAGCTGTCCGAGAAGAAGAAAAGAGGCTACCGCAGCTCATCCCTCTCTTCGACAACAGCAAGTTGGCTGCGCCTGCACTCAAGGTGCCTTAAGCGGGCGCCTCCAGGTTTCCGCTTCATGGCCTATGGAGCTGATATTAGCAGATCATGATTTGATTCATGGGGGGTTACTGGGGTTACTGTTAATGGGAATATCACCTGGCGATATTTCAACACATTCCTGTCAGGCAGCCACTGCTATTGTGGAGCAGATCGCCCCCCAGGGGCATTCGGTCGCGGCTGGGGTGCTTGGATACCGTTGGAAACTGGAATTTGCCCAGCCTCGAATGTCAATTGTGACCATTTTTAAAGAATTTAAAATGTGAGATTTCTGAAGTAAGATATTGGTGAATCTGGCTACAACCTCCTAAATCATTGGGTATGGATCATTTTTTTTTTCGACTTCACAACCCACAGATTTTGGGTCATTTTTGCTACAGCATTGCCACACATATTGAGGGAATGTGTCAGAGCCTATCTTACCTACCATATTGAGGGGGATAAAGATCCATTTACCACCTATTTTGATATGTAGCAGGGTTTGACCCATAGCTCTGGGTGTGTCTGAAAATGGCATAAACCCCTAAATGGCTATTCTCATATGGAAAATGATTGTCATCGAATGGATTTGGGACACAATTTTCAGACAAAGCCTGGGCTTACGTCAGCCACAAGGGCATAAACACCTGGGCTTGCGGTCGACGGTCACGGTTTTTCGGAATGTGTACCCTCTGGTAAACTAACATAGCTATGGAAAATCACCATTTTTAATGGGTAAATCCACTATTTCAATGGCCATTTTCAATAGCTTTTTGTATGTATACCAGAGGGCATCCATAGTGGATAATGTGGCAGTTTTCCACTGCTATAAACCTACCATTTGGGATCTGGTTTGTTCAAGCCATAAAAAAAGGTGATTTTGGGGATGGTTTGTGAAATTGGGTTTACCACGTTCATAGGGATAACACTGATGAATCACTGGATGGAAGGACAAAATTCGATCCAGAGCAGTTCACAGGTGTACCACAGGTGGTGCTGTCCTGTCGAAGATTCCTCTGGGACATGCTGAGAGCAAACAAACAGCTCTAAACACACAAGTCTACTGGATGATGTAGTTCATTATACAAATTGCACTCTTGTTACAGGCGGACTTAGCACTAATGACCAATGCTTCAAGTCCTTCCACATTGAAGAACTGCTGCTCCAAGAATGTGGTGCTGTAGCTGAAATGGAGGACAGCATCAATCTGGAGTAGTTCACAGGCGTGCCCTACAGGTGGCTCTGTCCTGTCTCATTCCTCCGAGACATGCTACGGGACAAATACACAGCTTCAAATGCACAGTTTTTCTTTTTGGAATTCAGTGTCTTGCAAGCCAAGAAGCGGCTGAAAGCAGCAGGGTGTGATGGTGTTGCATGCGAATGGTCACACCACTTTGAAGTCCCTCTGAATTGAAGAAGCAGCGCCCAACGGTGCAGTGCTGTCCTGGAAAGGGAGGACAAAAGCGATCCAGAGCAGTTCACAGGTGTACCACAGGTGGTGCTGTCCTGTCTCATTCCTCTGAGACATGCTCTGCATACTCTGCATCATGTCACTTGGACGGCCTCACAAAGCTGTCACCGAAGCCCATGTGTGTTTTTTTGCTAGTTTGTTCTAGGCCTGTCTTTGAAGTCCTTGCAACTTGCTGCACTTGCTGTGCTGTGCTGCATTCAAAAGCAAGGACCAAAATAACTTTGGAGGAATTCGCAGGTGCAGCGGCATGTGCTGCTTCCTGTCTCCTACCTCCTTGACAGTTTGTGCATTCCTGTGGCTTGAGGGCTGGAACAGTCAGGTATCCAGGTATTCCGACCTTCACAGCGGTAGTACACCAATTCCGGGCTATTTGAGTCATCAGTTGACAGCACTTGGGAATTCAATAGTTCAATGATGGCAGAGATGATAAACACTTGGATGGTGGTTTCACACATGTCACTTATTTTCATCGCGTTGTTGAAATGAAGATGATTCAGAAATCTCAAAATCGTCAGGGAGGATTTTGTCACACCATCAAATGTTTATCATCCGACTGCCAGCGTGGCATTTGAGGACCGCGTGATGCCGCCGCTGCTGGCGGGAATCGAGGACAAGAAATGGAAGGTGAAAGCGGGATGCATCCAGGCGCCGCGCGGGGATCCCACTGGTTCTGGTGGAGAAACCTGGGAACACCTGGGTTACCCTCTGGTAAACAGCCACATAACCATGGAAAGATCCACCATTTTGAATGGGTAAATCCACTATCAATGGCCATTTTCAATAGCTTTTTGTATGTTTACCAGAGGGCATCCATGTTTGTTCCATCATTTTTCTGGGCTTTCCGACGGTTTTCGCTCGACCTTCGCAGGTCCTGTTGCCGGCTCTGAAGCAGATGGAGGGAACCACCACACTGCAGTTGGCCAATTGCCTTCCTGCCATTGTCTCCAAATTAGCCGAGGCACTATGGGCTGGTGCTGGATGACCTGGTGAAAACTGGGTTCTGCTTCTCTGCGAAAATTCTCACAGAAGGAAGATCCACTATATATGTTGGGCCCTGAACATTAGCATAGGGTACCCCAAAATCTCAAACAACTCATACCCTCCGGAAATTTCACATAGCTATTGAAAATGGCCATTGATAGTTGATTTTCCCATTCAAAATGGTGGATCTTTCCAGTTCGTTATGTGGCTGTTTACCATGTTTACCAGAGGGTAAATGTTGATCATCATTGCATATTTTCCCGAATGAAACTGGCACTATTTCAGGTCTTCCTTAGGATCCCCGCTGGAGGCTGCTCTGGAAGTGCGAGCTGAGATCCGAACGGCTACAGGTGCCGAGCCCCTGCTTTTCAAACGTGGCAATGGGAAATCCGTCATTCATAGATGACTTTCCCATTAAAGGCTCCATTTATGCGATATTTTCCATTGCTATGTTTGATTACCAGAGGGTAAATCAGGATAATACGTCAAGGACCTTACAGCGCGATGTCTACATGATGGGAATTGGACTGGGGGAACTCTCCCCAAAACTTTGAATTTGAATTTAGAACCATCAAGCAAGAAGATCCAGGATGACGCAACATGGGAATGGCTACTAACAACCATGGGGATGCATTGAGGATCTAACAGTTAAATTCGTCTTGGAGGTTGACCAATACCACGAAAACCCATACATGTCTCGTGATTTGTACACTCACCATCCATTTTCTTGTAGCTCATTTTGATTTATAGATCTCATACCAGTATAGGGCGCGTTCCAAGACGCTTTGGATACCACCAAAATGGTTTCGCCGCGGCAAAATAGGCGTCGTAGCATCAGTAGCATTGTGGACTTCACTTTTTTCCTCAGTTCTCGAGCCATGTCAGGGCCATGTCCACATTGACCGGAGAAATGTGTTTGGATAGAGCGAGTATTGTACCATCCAAAAGCTTGGCTGTCACTAAATTGTACAATTGCCCATCAATGCATCAGGGGACGCATACGTTACGGCAAACAGCAGAAGCTTCACAAGTCAGGGTAGTGGGATCCGAGAAAAATTGGATTTCCCTCAGACACTACGTTTACTTGATGGGTTGTAGCCATACAGACTAGTCGATTTCTTTTTTTTATTTTACGTTCAAAAAGATTGGTAGAAACAGATATTATAAACAGCACATATCCCACCAAAAGTTGTCAACTCACAGGGATCAGCCACAGTCGTAGGTGCAGTGCTCAAAGAGATTGGTGCTTTCGTTGGAAGTCCAGAGATCAAGGCCCGTTTTCTCTGGGATGATTCAATGGTGATATCCCAGTTGTCAACTAAAATCATGGAAAAACGGCTCATAAAATTCATAAACCATCAACATTTTTGATATTTTTGGCATAACTCATAAACCAGCAACATTTTTGGCACCTTTTTTTCAGACTAACCCATGAAAATCCGTTCCAGATGGTTATTTTCCACTGCTAACGGTTAAAAGCAACATGAAGATTCTGTGTATATTTTATGAGCAAAACTGGCGAAGCAACCGTCCAAATTAAGAGAGATGCCAAGTTCCGATTTTTTGATACATTATCATGGCGCTCTTTAGACCAACCATACCAACCTGCACGAGAAATGGGATCAGAAGCGCATCGTATGTCTGAAAAACACTTTGCAGGACTGTCCCACCGCAACATTCCAGTGGAAGTGAATCTTTGGCAACTGTTTTATCCTATGGGATCTAGACTATTTTTTTGCAGAGACTTGTTGAAGACAATACTCCAAAATGGTGGGGCGATGTTGAAATGTCGGGGGTGATGTTGAAGTGGGACATTTCAATACCCAGAAGCCTCAGTTTGAAGGATTTTCCATTCTTGATATCTGAAAAATCTCAGTTTCCCAAGTCTTGTCTGGATTTTCCCCTTGCCAAAGATCCCAGAGGGCCCCTCTCATGTAACAGACTGGATCATCGAGCTGGGCCAGCCATACAGCAAACTGTTGAATCATCGAAGGGTACTTAGCTTGACTATCGCATTTTTCCCATTCATATCATTACTGGTTGGTGGTTTGGAACATTTCTTATTTTTCCATATATTGGGAATTTCATCATCATATTTTTCACAGGGGTAGGTCTACCACCAACCAGATTAATATTAACCATCATTAACCATATAATAACCATTAATAGAAACCATATGATTATTATTAGGTTGAAACCACCAACCAGATTAATATCATTAATATCCCCATGAGAAATCCCTATGATAGGTGGTTGAATCCGGTTCGGTCATCCCCATGTTCCACTTTTGCAGAGACCAGGCCTTGTCCCCAGACTTGGTCCAAGCCTTGGCAGAGCCCACCAACCAGAAGCACACCCAGGTGCGGGAATCCCAATGAATGGACAATGGATGGTTCTTTCTCACGGCTAATCTAAGTCATTGGGTTTATATAAAAGGGAACAAAATCTGAATCTAAGTCATGGGTTTATTTATCTTTGATACAAGTCATTCTTTCAATCTAAGTCTCTCTCTCTCTCTCTGGTTTGTAGAACGTTCACCATCTAGTGGTCATATACAAAATCCATAAAAATCCACGATAGCCGTTGGGGAACAAAAATGGGCCTTCGCGACTGTAGGCCGTCTTGGCAAAGATGGGCAATGCCACCTTCAAGTCCATGATCGATGAGGTGGCTCTGGGATAGCATGGACGACCAGCATTTTTTGGTCGACCAGCGTGATGTTGAGATGGGACATTTTTCAGGGTTTGTTTGAAAATTGGGTTTGTCCAACATATGATGGTTAACAAAAACACGACATTTCCAAAGCAAAATTGCCATTTGAACGGTTAATATGGTCAATGGCCCAGATAGATGATGCTTTCAAAAGCTGAAATTTCCCAATCAATCAATCAATCAATCAGTCAGTCAGTCAGTCAGTCAGTCAGTCAGTCAATCAATCAATCAATCAATCAGTATATATATATATTATCAATTAATATGGTTAATAGCCGTGATAGATGGAGATCATGCGAGAACCCGACGAAAGTCTCAGCGACGCCTGAGGCATCCCTAGCCCTGCTGTTGCCCATTGTGATGCGAGGATTGAAGGCGGGATGCGCACTGGTTGCGTTGCTGGTAGGGGATGGGGATGGGCATTTGAACATTTAGATGAACCTCTTCCTGTTTTTTTTGTGGGTGAAAGCGAAAATCTGGATTTGAGCCCAATTTTTGAGTGACTCACTCTTTCCAAAGTTTTGAAAAGGCTTGTCAGACCCCAAATTCCAGGCCAAGCAATCGTGAATCATGGTGTTTTTCATCTGAAACGACGTTCGGTTCGACATCGATCCCAGGACCGCGAGGCGATGAGCAAGAAGTGGTCGGCCCAGATCTTTGGATCTGCGGCCCTCTTGGCCCCTCGACAGATAAATTTCCCACCGGGTTGTTTGAAACGAAGCATAGATGGGATGCATGAAAGAGTTGATATTTGGGATTTGTCAAATATGGCATGTGAATCTGGAATGCAATTGTAGTGCGGAAAATGATGATACTCCGAATGGGGGTTACACGATTTCGAGTCAAACGCATATACTGTTCTGATTTGCTTCGATCACCAGAATCATTCGATATCCCCAAGTGAATATCTTTCTGAAACAGCTCTTCCGAAACCATTCGTTCTTGCTCATCACATCTAACTTACAAAAGCCGTGGTGAAATCAGTGGCGATTTTCCACTTCAGGTCAGGGATGTTGACTTCCTGAAGCCATACCTCAAGACTGCGCTGCCCCTTCTCCAGGTCGCCGTTATTTTGGCTTAGTCTTCGGTGTCAACAGTACACCTTTGGTTGTTAAACGGCCCAGGTTTCGTTGATGTTGGCGGTTTTTTATGACGCAAACTCAACCAGGAGACACTGGTGGACGCGAAATCATTCAACCAGCTTTGATTCCTGGTCGCTATGAATGTGGTAATTGTGGGGTATTCCGACTTGTTCAAACAAATCCTATCTTGCATAGTCTCACCCGCCAACGAATAGGTCTTTCTAAAATCCCCAAGTGTCTTCTGGGTGGTTGAAAATCCATAGAACAACTTCATGTTTGGTAGTCAACACAATTTCAAACCAACATTTTGATACAATTTACCCTCTGGTAATTTAACATAGCCATGGAAAAATCACCATTTTTAATAGGTAAACCATCTATAAATGGGTCATTTCCCATGGCTATGTTAGTCATAACCAGAGGGTAAATCCAGAGTTTTGATGGTTCGCCAGGCGGCCCTCAACGACTCAGTGCCAGAGGTGCGACGCGAGGCTGCCAAGGCCATCAAAGCTGGACTGGTGAATTTCTTGGGACTTGTACCCTCTGGTAAACATACAAAAAACTATGGAACATCACCATTTTTTATGGGAAAATCCACTATTCCTATGGTAAACTGTTACAAAACGAACTGGAAAGATCCACCATTTTTGATGGGAAAATCCACTATTTCGACTGGGTCATTTTCAATAGCTATGTAACAAATTACCAGAGGGTACTACCAACAGCTAATTTATTGGGGATTATGATAATCTAATAATGAATATGATGGATTTAACATGATTTAACATTAAACCAATGAATAAGGAATAATTGAAGAAACTTTGGTATTGACATGAATGAGACAGAGGGCATCCCACGATATGTAGTGTATGCTGAATATGTTTATATATTTTTTCTCAAATGCAACCGTGATGGGGGTACAATGGGGATGTAGAACCAGCGCTATGATGTTTAAGCTCACTGGTTCGAGAACACATTGATTGAAAAGATGAGATTTGTTTGTTCTGACTAGACACATTGAGGGTGTAACGGTGCAACAACGATGGGGATTGAAACGCAACTTCGGATTGATTGGTCAAAAGCCATGATTTTCCCAACAAAAATGGGATTTTAAAACCACTGATATCCAATAGTGACGGGGATAATGACGTGCAGATTATTTGGGGTTTGGGTCCAAACTCTCTGATAAATCTGTGTGGGGGTCAGGCCTACGGAATCTTGGAGCAAGTGATGCCTGAGTATTCCAGGAGCCACTGCCAGTCCGGCACCAAGATCCCAAGAAGTGATGATGCCTTCAGCCCCTAGGGGTTGGTGGTGGTGTTTTCTCCACCTTCCTCAAACCCTATTTTTGCGTGGCTAACTTTGATGGTTAACACCTGAACACCAACCATTTCAATGGTTAAATCCACCATTCTGTTCCTGAAATCCACGTCTCCGTGGTTTCAAGTCCCAACTTTTGGCAAAAATCTAGAATGTACCATCTGGTTATTTAACATAGCCATGGAAAATCACCATTTTTAATAGGTAAACCAGGTAAACCATCTATAGATGGGCCATTTTCCATGGCTATGTTACATAACCAGAGGGTAGATTATTATAATCCCCATTCTTGGTTCCTTAAATCATCATTTTGGTGAACTCCTTGCTGGCTCCACCCCGCTGGCGAACAAGGCCCTTCCTCTTCGGCAAGCTGCGCGCCGGTGACGCCTCCGAACAGATCGGCGCTGCGCTGGGTCTGGCGGAGGTCTTCGTGAGGATGGACAAGGCGTGGATCTAAAATACCTTGGTCGATTGGTTACGAACTTGGGACTTCTACTATCTACTGTACTAGGGATTACCCATATGCTCCATGTATGGTATATTTACCTACAAAACTGGGTGATTTTAAGGGCAAATGTTGGTAAATATTCCATACATGGAGCATATGGGTTATGATAACCAATAGTAGGGAAAGCTATCAACCAACTAGTATAATGAGATGGGATAGGAGGAAATCAGGGAAAAATTGGGAAAGTGGGAGAAGATGGGGAAGAATCATCTCGGGAAAGAGATTGTGGAGAAGAATACCACAAATCCGGGTGATTGGACCACATAGCGAGAAGTGTTGCTTGAAAGAATCAGAGTGGAAATTGTTTGATTTTTTAACATTTGAGCCTCATGTTTGGAAACACATCTTCTGATTTCTTATTGCGACTATTCTTGACAATTGCGATTTTCGGGGTGGAAGCTCTTCAGCTGGCAGGCCAAGTTGTCCCAGTTCATCCCGGAAGTGCAGAAGGTGCCCCTGGGAAGAACGGAATCACCCTTCAACTGTTCAATTTTTGCCCAAAGTGCAGGGGCTGATCGCCCCGTGGCATGCCTGAAGATTGAGTTGATCGAAACCCTTTTCTCTTGAAGTCTTGGGGGATATACCAGAGTAAAATTTCCCTTACAGAGTCCAAACGAATCCCAAACCTAAAGTCAGAAAATTGAACAGCTTGAACAATTTTTAAAAAAATCGGGTTTCCCAAACATGGGATAGTTTTCCAGACATTTTTCCATATTTTTCCATATTTTTCCAGAATTTTTCCAGAATTTTTCCAGATTTTTCCTAACCATGGCCATCTATGGGAGATCTGACAGCTGCCAGGGATCCGTTGAGGAGAACCTCACGGTGCGTCGAGGTTTCCTGGAGTTGATGGATACCATGCCGCAGGCAGAAAATCGTGGCCGTGTTTTTTTTTTTGATTGGGGGAACTTTTTATTGATGTTTGTATATTTGGGGAAATGATGTACAAATTTCAATGGATTGGTTTAAGGGAAAATTTACAGGAAACCTCCATATTTAATGGTAAAAACCATGGTTTCCTGCAGATTTTCCCTCAATCCAATGACTGGAAAATTAAATGATGTTTGTATATTTGGGGAAATGATGTGTGTATATTTGGATATTTATGATATTTGATGTTTGGTTTACTCAAATATTGTTGGGGAAATGATGTAATTTGGAAAAATTATGTTTGTATACTGTTGGGGAAATGATGTTTGTATATTTGGAGGTTTCCATAGTCATGGTGGTACCCCAATAGCTGGATGTTTTTTTTTTGGATAATCCTGTAAAAATGGATGATCTGGGGGTACCCCCATTTCAGGAAACCACCATTTGGGGAATCAAACCGTTGGGATTTGAGGGAAACCATGTATTCAGACAAACCCATGTATATTACCCTCTGGTTATGACTAACATAGCCATGGAAAATGGCCCATTTATAGATGGTTTACCTGGTTTACCTATTAAAAATGGTGATTTTCCATGGCTATGTTAAATAACCAGATGGTATTTTATTTTTATTATAATATTTATAGTATATCATATCTGGATGAATTATAATGACCTCACCGTGACGTCACTGGAATGATCGTTAGTAACGGGAATCATCCCCAAACAACTTATTTCAGCTATTTTCACGGCAGTGAATTATTGTGATTCATACTATATATATACTATATATATATACTATATATATATGTATAGATATGTATATTGTGTACATATATATATATATATGTATACATATTTCTAAGATATCTAAGATATCTGAGGCATAGAAACCGCATTTAAAGACTTTGTTCAAAGATCGAAGTTGGTGCCAGGCCATGAAGATGGACTTTGTGCCATACATCGAACGCCTCTTCCCTGCCATGCTGATGGGCATCAACGGTGAGAAGGAGATGCTGGCGATGCCATGGCGATTTCAAATGTATACATACATATGTGGGGAATCCCCAAATTGCTTGGTTTATAATGGAACATCCTATTAAAAGTTGATAATTTACGGGTACCTTCATTTTAGGAAACCTCCATATGTATATATATATACACATCATATCAGAATAAGATGTGGATCATATGGCCAGTTGTTTTTGAAACATCCATTGGTTGGGACGGGAGTATGTGTAGAGTCACGGTGAATGATGAGTCAGTAGTGGGTCGCTGGTGAATACCCCGAACTCTGTTTCCATTTGAGTGATGGCTTTTGCTTGGTGAAGTGAAGAGTAGTCTTGGGGCGTACCCTGGTTTGTTGAAAAAAACATATTTAGGTTGTAAAACGAAATAGGACATCCCGAGAACAAGGTAGGCTTCGCATGTAAAGCATTTAGCTATTAGAAACAAATGCTGCGTTGGAGAACGAGGTCAGGCCCCCAAAAACGTTGCGGGAATGGAGAACGAGGTAAGAACACCTTGTCGATTTCGTCATGGTCATGTACCAAATACTTTTTGCGGCTCATGTAGATTTGTAGACCACCCACTTCTACAGGAAACTCAACCATTTCTGTCAGGGAAATTGCATTGGAATCCGAAAATGAATGCCAACGTTGCATTTTTCAAATGTCAACTCTATCATTGGGAGTTTGGATGTTGCAATGGCTCAAAGCTATTATATATCTACCCCCCAAAAGACCCAAAATGATACTCCATTTTGCTCCCTCCCGATTCGCATTGCAAAACAAACCATCTTTTGTCCAGATTCCATGTTTTTTCTCCATCAGTGGAAATATATTCCCCCTTTTTTTACATCAGATTGGCAATCCACATTAAAACATCCATCAATTTCTATCTCCATCTTCTCAGAGTTTTAAATGCCCATAAACAGACATAAACAGTTTCTATCCCCCATTTTTTGGGTGACATTTGCTTTTTCGCTCTCCATATCCTTTAAATGGTGAAGCAACCGCCGCAGGATCTGAGCGATGACCCTGCCATGAAGGCTGCGCAGGCCCTGGTGGGGCGCTTCGGAGATCTGCCCGGTGACCCAGGGCCATGGAATGCATGGTGTCGAGGCTATGGGTGATCTGATGATCTGATCACAAATGAATACATACAGTATCAGTGTATATAACTATATATATATATGTATATATATATGTATATATATATGTATATATATATGTATGTATGTATGTATATATATATATATATTCAGTAACATTCTAACATACTGTATGTATTCATTTGTGATGAGGTTGGTGTTACATATAACTCCAGTCATTCAGCGATCCATCTCTGCCATCGATCCTCCTGTCGATATCTGCGATCCATTCCGATCCTACCCTATAATCCTATACAATGTGGGGCCCCCTAGTTATAAGTTGGTTTATAACCCCATCCAACTATGGTTATAACTACCATAAACCCTAGTTATTGTAGTTATGTAGTTGCCAGAAGGGACCAAACGAAACCCTCAAGAATTCCAATCTTTGAGATTTAAGCCATCGAAGTTTGGGAAAGCTGCAGCGAGCTCATTCCTCGTAGGCCCATCATAGTAGATCTGAGCTGTTAGCCACTTACAACTTGGGCTGATCCTCCACTGAAGAATACATATCGGACATAGCGGTATTTCATAATATCATATAATATCCACATAGCCCATGAAAACCATGTAGAGTACCCAATATTTCGACCCATGAAACATTTTTGGCTGCTTTGGAACCATGGAATTTTATTTTCCCATTCAGTTGGGAATTTCATCATCCCAACTGACGAATTCCATCATTTTTCAGAGGGGTAGGGCTCAACCACCAACCAGATTAATATTAACCATCATTAGCCATATAATAACCATTAATATTAACCATATGTTAACCATTATTAACAGTATATTAACCACCAACCAGATTAATGTCATTAATATCCCCTTCGAACTGGATCCCATTTCGATGGACTCAGGTGCCCCGACCTCCTGATGGCTGCCTTTGAGGGTAGCTACGCCAAAGCCCTGGGGTTCGGTGGCCCAGTCGGCCCAGTCGTGGACGTTCGGTCGACCAAAAGTCCACATCCCAATTCGTAGTACAATGGATGGATGGAAGAAATTTGTTTGGATGGTAGTGATCATTAGTGATCTATAACAATCTATAATAACATTCTACCCCATCTTGGAGTGTTCAGTTTTGGCCATGAGAAGCTCTGATCCGAGAAAAAATCTACCTCAGGTCGACCAAGGACTGGAAGAAGATGCAGGCGTCAATTTCCAGGGTTGTGCTTGTGCTGGAGCGGCAAGGTCGAAGCCCATGGCTTTTTCAAAGGTTCAGAAAGTTCAAAACAGTACTGATTTGTTGCACAAAGACATATCCATACATTACACAGTAATATCATGTAACACGATGTAACATGATTCAATGGATTGGTTTAAGGGAAAATCTACAGGAAAACCCCATATTTAATGGGAAAATCTATGGTTTCCTGTAAATTTTCCCTTAAACCAATCCAATCAATGATGTAATATGTATATGCCAAAAACATCAAACACCTTTGTTGATCCATGAGTTGATGTGATCAGGTGGTCCGCGAGAAGTCCATGCAGCTGCTGTTGAAAACCGCCGAGAAGATCTTGGAGCACAAGAAGTGCGGGGCCGTTTGGAGAAGGGAATCCGCACATGGAGAAACCGGGTGATTCTCCCAGAAAACGTTTGATATTTTGCAAGAATAGGAAATATGTTACCTATATATTAACTATACTATATATATATCTATCTTCATCTGTTCTATCAAGAAAACTGTTTATATATCCTTATTTTTGTTTATTATCTTCAGGGAAATGGGTCGAATCGTGGGTCACAATCTATTAGATTCATGGCGATGATCAGTATATTTTGAAGCAAAGTGAAGCTGGACTTAGATCACCACAATGGCAAATTGTGATACTGGTTGGTGTTTTGGAACATTTTTTATTTTTCCATATATTGGGAATTTCATCATCCCAACTGACTTTCATATTTTTCAGAGGGGTAGGTATACCACCAACCAGGATAGTAATTCTTGTACGCAATCGTATGTTTGTTCCCACTGCACCGCCGTCAGCTTACCAAACGGCCTAATATATCACCATGGCATAAACCGACTACTATTGGATTGAAATATATACATGGATGTGCGATGTCGTAAGCTCCTCCTCCTCCTCCTCATCATCATCATCATCATCATCATCCATTAATAACCATTAATAACCATTCTTATCCTTGCCTGCAACATCCTTCTCTTTCTCCTCATTATGCCCTTATCCTCGTCCTGGTTCCAGGTTCGGCCAGGATCTTCTGACTTGCGACGAATGCTCCAACAAGGTGAGAGGACACTGGCAGGGCCAAAGAGACATGGATCACCGTGGACTCAACTCGTTGGTGTTTCAAACATGACTTTTATTTTTCATCATATGAGCTGTGGTCAATACTCATGGTTAATAACCATTAATAGGGGCTAGTCATCCAATGGTTCATAGGGATTTATAATAACCATTATAAGGATCCTTATTATGGATGGGATGACCATCAACCATATAGTGAGTATTGACCATGGCTCATATATGGGATAATCCTTCCCATTGACGAACTCCATCATTTTTCAAGATGGTTAAAACCACCAACCAGTCAATGTTTGGACATCTTGATTTTAAGGTTAGTGCCCACAAACTCATTCAACAATCGTAAAATTCCAGCAGCTGAACGTTTCTCGCTTGGGACAACAAGAGCTCTTGCAGTCTCTCCAGTAGTCATAGTTTTGACCAACGCTTCAATGACTATTCTGAGTAATTTTTCGTTCAGACACAGCCATTAGCTACTTTGAGGATCATCCCACTTAGTGACTTAGTGGTTCATAACCATAGTTACTTGGTGACTGTTAATGACCATTTATTTACTCGTTTAGTTACCTGGCAGTTAGTTGTTAATAACCAGACTTAGTGATTAATAATCATAGTTAGATTAGTGATCTATCATTGAACTACCCCCCAGTTACTAATCACTTATACTCCACGTGGCACCGTCCCGGCCGCGCGTTGCCACAGGCCACGCGTTTGCGTGTGCTGATCTTGGCCTTCGTGGCACGCAATGACCCGGACGCCGCCGTGAAGCGTGTGGCCAGCAACGTCTGGTGGGGCGCACCCAGCCGTGTCATGGGAACATGTTCTCCCCAAACCAGGGGATGTAACCAACAATACTGGGGATAAAACGTGGATATTTCATGGAGTACAATCAACAATATGTGAGTAGTGGATTTATCCTGTGAATAGATGTTATAATAGTGGATGTAATGGGGGATTTAACCAACTATAATGAATATTTCAGGGAATATAGACTCTGACCGACAATACCCAACAATAGGAGGATGGATGTGTCTGAGGATTGTGGATATAACATGATATAACCACAATCGTGGGAATATTTTTTGGGATATGAATAATAACCAACATGGAGTATGTGAGAGTGTCTGAACATGGGGGATTTACTCCCCGAAATTTCAATCGGAAGATGATGATTTGCCATCGATTTTGAGGCATCCAATTTTCAACCAGAGTCATATTTTTGGAACAATGTGGGGCCCCCAAGTTTGTTATGTTTGTTGGTTTATAACCCCATCTAACTATGATTATAACATGTTATAACTTCCATAAAGCCTAGTTATTGTAGTTATATTCCAAGTTATAACTACCATAAAGCCTATAGTTATTGAAGGAGCTGTCAAGAAGTTACCTTTTTTTTGATCTCCAGAACCACCCAGTTTTTCTGTTGGTGACCACCCCAGGAAGACGTCCGGCGGATCTCCGAAGATGCAGCACCTTGGTGTGGAAAGTGCCTGCTGGAAACTGCCAGGGATTGATTTCTGATCCAACTTTTTGGGTTTCCTGAAATCAAATCACCGTATTTTTTTCCATACCCGGCCTGGTAAACTATATAACAGTTTGCTATTGAAAATGGCCCAGTCGAAATAGTGGATTTTCCCATGAATAGCATGGTGGATCTTTCCATAGCTATGTGGCTGTTTACCAGAGGGTAATAGGATTTTCCAGCTTGCGAAGTTTGCCAGAGGCTAGTGGGAATTTCTCCCGCAGGACCCCCTTGGGACGATGTTTTCGTCAGACGCGTACCGAAAACCACCAAGCGATTAGCTATGGTTACCCTACCCTCCTTTGATCGTTGATTGGATGGACTATGGAGAGGGTTTCAGAAGGCAAGTCCACCAAGTCCACCAAGTCCACCAAGTCCAACAAGTCCAACAATCTCTTCCCTTCACCATGCAAAGGTAGCCAGGCTTGAAAAAGCATACCTGGCAAATTGCTGAGAACTTCTTTTTTTGTGTTGGTCAGTTTTTGGTTGCCTCTACTTCCCTTCGGCCCTTCGCAATTCTTGGCATTTTTGCTGGATAAAGATGCCATTTTCTTCTGATTTCATCCCAGGATTCTTTGGGAAACATGGCCTCCTCTGCGGGTCACCACCAGCCGGCCCAGGAAGACCATCGCGCAGGAGCTCTCTCAGAGCATCATGAAGTGGCGTGCAGGTTCGGATGTGATCAGTTCAGAGGACATGGGGGATTTTAGATGATTTGATGGAAGATATTATCTTAAATCTGATTGATCTTTTAAATGGACAAAGATTCATTAGATGGTTGTTCGGAATTCATGATTTTCATGTTGATCTTTTTTAGAGTAGGACATGGCTAAGGTTGTTGGAATGGTACAAATATCAGCATTTTAGCTGGATTTTTTTGGATGAACCTGGCTTTTTTGGGGGTCTCGCTTGGCAAAAAACGTGGTGACCCTCCAGTGTCATCATGACTTGCTGGAGAATTTCCTCCATTTGTAGATGCTTTTCCTTTTTTGTAACCATTTGAGGGATTTTCCAGCATCCTGGAGGGTAAATCTTGTTCCCAGGTTCCATGGGTGCTGGTTTGCAGAAGGTGGCCAAGGATGCTCTCTCCGAGCTGGTCAAGGTGCCAAAGCGATGGGGAAAAACCCCACGCTTTTTGTTCGGACTGAGGGAAAAAAAGGTAGACGCACCAAGTGTCGGTAAAAGATAAACCAATAAAAAACCAATTCGGCGATTCTAAGTTCCCAGTTTCGGTAAGTTGTCAATCAACTGCTTTTTTTGGTACATACTTAGAATCACCAACTTAGATTTCCAGCAGCACATTTGTTCAATTTTTTGGAAGATGCAGCCTCAAAACTCCACTGGTTGATCATCATATGTCATATATTTCCATATATTTCCTACGAAATGGCCATAAGTTGTGGTAGTCTGGTTTTCCACTGGTTGTGATGACTTTGTTTTGGAGTCCACGAGTTTGACCGTTCCACACCCCACTGACCCCAGTGTCTATCTTCAAAGTAGTGAAGGCCAATTTTTCCAGTTCTGACCAGCAGAATCAGCAATAGCCAAGAAACAAATGGCCAGCTGTTGATAGTCTCCAAATTGCGGAAACTGGGCTGTAAGCAGGTGCATCGTTTTTTCTTAAACCAAGGTTTCAAGTTGCGGGATTTGTGTTAGATTTTCAGGATGTAACCAGCAAGAATGGGAGGATCATCAGGCAAAAATAGAGATGCAACCATCAAAATTAGTAGTTTTAATCCTCAAACATGGGGATTGAAGCGTCAAGACTTAATAACTTCAGGATTTCATCACCAAGAACAAGATTTCACCACAGAAAAACGACAGTTTCAGCCGACAAGCCGGCTGGGTTCGGCTTCGTCCTTTCTGGCGACTTGCAAGGCCGGCGACGTGGAAGACCCTTCAGAGGATGTAGAGGTGCGAATGGTTTTGGGGACCTGCCAAGGCAACTGTCATCCCTCCATAAACATGGGTAAGATATGATAAGATCTCACCTTTTTCGGGTAGAATTCTTGGACCAGAGACCCCTGTTGATTTCAGTAAACCCTAAAGAGCTCCAGTGTTTTTTTCGCAAAAGCTGGCAGAGCTTCAATTCATCCAACAAAATGACTCGAGCTGAAGATTGGATCAGTTTCCCCCCCAACACAGAAAAGTGCCAGGTATAGGGATCGCTGCAAGAGAAGTGCCTCTTTCCGGACCAAGGTTGTTTTTCGACCTTCAACTGTCAATCTTGTGACTCCCCAACCGTTTTTTTCCCATGTACTGTAGCACCCAATGGGCCCAGTTCCGTTAACATTTCTGTCTATCGGTGTTAAATCCCCATTTTCAAACACACCCAAACATCAAATATAGTTGGTTGTAAGTTATATAAGTTTTATACATCTGATCAACATATTCCTGTAATAATAGCCCATCAAGTATTCATCTATTACACGTAAGGCCGTTCGTCAGAATGGCCACACCGCAGGCTGTTAGCAGCGAGTTCTGCTTCGACACTGCCAAGTCCTTGAACGAAGAAGCGGCCAAGATCGCTGCAGGCGACTCGCCTGGTTGGACCAACGAAAAGACCAAAAAATCCTGGGGATAGTAAACCGACACCGAAAATATTAGGGATTTAATATAGGTACATTAGGGATTTGCTAGCATTTAAGTATAAAAACTGACATTTGGAAATTGGGGATTGACACCCCTATGGGATTTCAAGAGCAAGGATTCCTCAAACTATGAGGATCTTGGGAAGCTGGCAGGTGAATTCTCGGTGAGCCAAGCGGATGAGGCTGACACCAAGGAGGTGACTGCGCATCAGAATGACTTTCAAAATGGATGGCTTGATAGGAGAAACTGACTAACTTGGTGGTTAGTTACTAGGGATTACTAGGGTACGCCTCTAAAAACACCTATACCTGGCTTTGGGGCAAGTTACTAACCACCAAAGAGGGGATGGTTTACACCTGATCTGAGAGCATGCTTCAACTTTTTTTCTAAAATAATAGGGGTACCCCCAAATCAGCCATTTAAATATGTATTTTCCATCATGAACCATTCATGTTGGAGTACCCCCCCATTTTAGGAACCTTCTCCAGTTGTTGACAGATGGCAGGATTGCCAGATGGTAAAGAAGGTCGAGACCTTCTGGGGCAAACATGCAAGCTTTGGCACCCTGGTGGGTCGCTGGACACAGACTTTGCGCTCGATTTTGCTGCTTTTTTTTTTTTTATTTCCTTGGGAGTATGTCATTTTGTCTCCACGCAGTCAAAACGTGCCCCAAACATGTGTGGATTATTTGAGAACCTTCTCACCTTGGGAATTCGTTGCAAAGCTGGGTTAATCTTGTTTCTTTGGGAGTATGGCCCTGATTTTGTTGGGTGAAACATAGGGGGATCTGAGTAAGCTCAACCAGCACTGTGACAGCATCTCCTTCTATCAAATGACCTAAATTTGGAGTGTGAGACTCTTGGGCCGTCACTTTTTTCCTCAATCTTGTCGTTCATGTCTCCATTCACCAACCATTTCCCAAGCATTTCCCAAGCTTCAGAATGACGTCCCTTCCAGTGGATCTTCAGCTGAAATTCCGCTCACCGTGGGTTTACAGGTTGAAGCGTTTTTCTCTTTTGGATGAAGCATCCGAAACTTGGTCATAGTTTACCCATGTTTACCCAGTAAACTAACATAGCTATGAGAAAATGGCCAGATTACCCATGACAAAAATGGTGGATGTTTTTCACCATGTTTTTCCTTTGGTATGCCAGTCACCACAGGGTGCAACCCAATTTTCATCCCCATTTTCAGTGCCAAGAGTCATCGCCCACCAGGTGAGCTGAAGAGTCACTTCCTGTCCGTCTCCGAGAGCGTCATCCGTGAGGGTCACAAGAAGAAGCTGCCAGGGCCAAGGGTTGTGGAGGTGCTGCGGCGATCAGCTGGGGTTTGATGGGGAGATTTTTGTGGAAACGGACCGGATAAATGATGGTTGGTTGATGATTACCCTCTAGTAAATTAACATAGCTATTGAAAATCCCCATTTTTTATGGGAAAATCCACTATAACTGGCCATTTTCAATAGATATTTTGACATAACCAGAGGGTAGTTCAGGGATTTTACAATTGGGGATGAACACAGCTGAGAGAGTAGGGTATCTGGGAGTAGCCACACTGGTTGGATAAAAGATCGGTGTTTCACACATGTCGGACCATTCTGTGTGCAACATTTATTACATCACATTAAATCACTTTTTTTCATCATTCACCTTTTTTTTGAAACCACTACCGTTGGAAACTGATCCCAATGGTAAAGATCACTATGTGGAACATCCGAATTTGCTGGGAGACCCCATTTTATTGCCATGTCAATGGGGCAAATGATGATGATTGCTCAACTAACCATGAGATAGACTCTGTTGTTTTCCCAACATTTTCAGTTACCAAATGATACCAAATGTATCCAAATGTTATTTGAGATGTTTTCCGCCTGAGAATATGCATTACTATGCGGTTTTCTTGAAAAAAAACAAGATGTTTCATCAAAAAAAACATCCATGTTTGGAATCCCCCCATTTTCGGAAACCTCCTTTTCTATGGTGTCTTTTCCCCTATGAATGGTGTGTTTTCCCCAACTCGTTGCATTGGGATCAACTGGGTGGCGACTCGCGTTGTTGCGCGACCAGGAACTCCAGTCGGCCATACAACAGATCTGCCGGTGCTGCAAGGACCAGGCACCAATTCCGGGAGGAGTTGATACTGGTTAAACCATGTTAAACCAGTATAAACCACAAGAAGGTGCAGAACAGTTTTTGCATATTTCACATGTAATCCTAGCATATCTCGTGTTAAATCTAAGCTTTCTATCTGTTTAAATGAGGGCTTTGGAGAGTATGACAGTATGGCCCTTTTTTTAGCAAGATATAGGGGAATCCCTACTGACATATTACATTCATAGAATTGGATGATGGGAAAATTTTAACCGGAAAGCCCATCAAATTTGATGGTAAAAACCCATGGGTTTCCGGTTAAGTTTTCCCCAACAAACCAATCCAGTGATACATAGCATATTGGCAAGATCCTATAATCTTGGGATTCCAGTACGGATGATGATATTTTCATAGGGATTCCCATGATAGGGATTCCAAGTTCACGGATGAACAGCCCCAAAATTTTGCGACACAAATCATCAAAGAACTGGGGTTTGTTCAAAGAATTTCAGGAAAAACCATTTGGTCCTTAAATTCTTGGTTTCTTCAAGAACTGGAATTACAACTGGTTAAACCTCACTGGTTTGTTGAAAAATCATCAACCGTTGAGGAATTTATGACATTTTGGGACCCCTGAATTACCAGGTTCCCCATTGAAAAACGACCTGGGAGCATCGCTTGGATCGCCAGGTGGAAGACTTCCTGAAAGCTGTGCCAGAGAATGTGGAGGCGCGACATGTTCCTGGAACAATGCTGGGACAGTTGGAAGAGAGCGGCCGAAACTGGGTATCCTATAGTTGATGAAGCAAAAGTTCACAAGCTATTTCTGGCAGACTCAAATTGATGTAAAGAAGGCTACTAGCAAAGATGGGGATGGAAAGTCAGATGCGGGATGCAGGCAGCAAAACAGTGGGGAAAGCAGCAACTTGTTGGTGCTTGTTCAGTTTCCCTATCCCTCAGGAATTCGAGGCATTGCAATTGCAACAGATTCCAAATCTTGAGCCTCGTCCACTTCATTTTTTGATTGCCAACCAACCGGAGTTTATCCCTGCCTCCAATGGTTGGATAATCAGCTGTCGAAGCATGGTCATCGCTATGGGTTCCATAGCAGATTTCCAGGGAGTACCCTCTGGTAATTTGTTACATAGCTATTGAACATGGCCATAGAAATAGTGGATTTTCCCATTAAAAATGGTGATTTTCCATAGTTATGTTAGTTTACCAGAGGGTACATGAGCAGCAACTACTTTGGACAACCAGCACCCAGTCCTGTTTTGTCGCGCGCTTCAGTCTTTTGCTTCCATTGGCCAGCCGCCGGAAGATTGGAAATATTGGAAGACATAGCAGCAAAAAATAGCACACTAGACATGTGGCTGGCCATCAGACATGCCGATTTCGCAACACAGATCTAGTGCTTTGGTTTGTTGCTGCAAGAAACCTCTCTCAACAAGCAACTTTCTTCGAGTTTCAATCGTCGTGTCATGTCCAATTTACCGGATTCCAACCTTTTCAGAAGCGAGTGCCCTTGAAGTCTTCGCGCACGGGCCGCACCGGGGCATGATGAAGTTGGATTATTCCTTCTATTCCGTGACCCTGGTGGGCTTCTTTGCTGGGATCAGTTCGGGGCTCTTTGTGAAGCTTTACAAGGCAATGATCATGGGTTGGTCTGAGAAATCGCTTGCCTTTACATAAAAACATTTTCGCCCCAACCCGGACGTTGCTCCACACTTACAATCGTCATGATCATGATCATGATCATCATCACCATCACCATCACATCATGATCATCATCACATCATGATCATCATCACATTAAAATTCGCCACCCCCTCTGAACAATATGTTGACTGGGGTAGTAACATCAACTTTATCTTCATGAGGGGTCAAAATTCGCCACCCCCTCTGAACAATATGTTGACTGGGGAATAACATCAACTTTATCTTCACGAGGGGTCAACATTCGCCACCCCCTCTGAACAATATGATGATTGGGGTAATAATAATAACATCAACTTTATCTTCATGAGGGATCAAAATTCGCCAGCCGCCAACCCTTATAAACAATATGTTGATTGGGGTAATAACATCAACTTTATCTTCATAAGGGATCAAAATTCGCCACCCCCTATGAACAATATGTTGATTGGGGTAATAACATCAACTTTATCTTCATAGCTACCTGAAGTCAGACGCGGCGCAACGTCAGGGTTGCAGCGAACATCTTAAAACTACACGAAGATCATAATCTTCCCACTTGAAATAGACATTTAATGGGTATGCGATGTGATATGCAGATATGCAGCATTTTCAGATGAGAACCCCTTGGGGCGGTTGATGCTGGGGATGTCAAACAATGTTGCCGGTCATCAACGATAATTTGCCAGTGGGGGTTCAAGGCACAACAAAAAGTAATAATAATAATAGTAGTAATAATAATAAGAAACATTTTTTGGGGTCTTGTATCAACACAAGTCTTTTCTTGCAGGTTGGACTCCGTTCAAGGAGGTTTTCAATGGGAGGATTTCGGAACTAGCGTCAGTCCTCTTTTTTCTGAACAGTTGAAGGGGACCTGATTGTTGATACACTCTGGTAAACCAACATAGCTATGGACAATCACCAACTTTAAGAGGTAAATCAACGACAAATATCTATAAAATTCTATGAATGGCCATTTTCAATAGCTATAAATGGTCATTTTCAATAGCAACCTGTAACAAATCACCAGCGGATATCTTTCCGTGCTCCTTTTTTTGCCACGTCCACGTACCACATTTCTGGTGGATTTATGCTGGAGGGAGCCTTCAGATCCTGGGTTCAGGGTTGAAGATGAAACTAGTTCAACCAATTGGGGATGGGTCAAAACCCTGGTACCCCTTCTGTTCACATCAAAATAGCTGGTAAATGGATGTTCATCCCCCTAAAAATGGTATCTATAGGTATTGACCCATACCCAATTAACAACACTTAACTTGCTAGTTAAGTTCGATGATGGCAATGGACATCCTCAAAGAAATAAATCCTCCAATGATTTTAGACATGGCGTGCTGGAACATGCTCCATTTAGTGCCACGAGTTCACCATGAGGACCTCCGTTTCGTTCGGAGATTTCCCAGCGATCGACATGTTTGATTACCCTTCAGGGATTGCATACCCATATGGGGGGATTGTCATCAATCTATCAGTAAGCGTTTATATTAATAACCGTTTGTCATCTATTAGTAAGTTAGTAAGCCTTTTTTTTCCTATATATATATATACATACATAATTATGTATATATGATTTCACCATTACATATGAGGATTCCCATGACGTTGGATGACCTTAAACCATACTAGCCTCTAAATTGACTTGACCGCTGACCGCTCCCTTCAGACTGTGCTGGAGATAGTTCTGGAACTCATTTGGACACGGCTTCCGGCTGCCCTTTATGCTGCGGGTTGGAGCGATGAGGCGGATCGCCATGGCGGTTTTCACCAGCGATCGCCATGTTTTTTTGAAATGGGGGATGAAAAACCCCCTATTGGAGTGGCATTTTTTCATCATTTGAACGGGGAAAATCGTGAACCATGAACTTTGGCATGATTTTCGGAGAACGTAAAAACAGAAAATCGCCCAAGTTCAGATGCAGAAAAGCAAAACACCAATCCTAAAATTTTGTGATTCATATCATGATATAGATTCGCAAAATCTATCTTCTTGGGGGGTCATTTGAAAGTGGAGTAGAGTTTTTTTGAATGTTAGAATGGCAATGGGGATACCAAAATTTACGGGAAGATACAACCAACAAGATGATCTTGTGAGGTACGTCTCAAAATTGGAGGAACATTCCCTGACAAGATTTTGGCATTTGGGTTGGTGACTTCGTACACAAAGCATTAGATATCATTACAAAATTCACTGAAGAGTTCCTAAATGTTTGAAGGCTAAGCAGGGTACCCTCCGTGAAATCAGGCATAGATTACACAGCTCTGGTTTCAACATCACTTGACATTCGACATGGCTCTCAGAAACACAGCTCTGATCATCATTGTTTTTTTGGCACATCATTCCTTTTGAAATTTTGGGATGGACCCTTAAAATCTCTGGAGATCATTCCAGTTTCATACTCGTGACATGGCCAGCTGGCAGGCTCCTTTCAGCCTCGTTAACCTTACCTGGATTTTGGGCGCCTTCTTTGGCGCTATTGTAGGCTTGGGCCGGGCTTATCTGCCAGAAGAGGCTGGGCTGCAGGTTGATCTATTTCTTGAAAAAAGCTAAGCACTTTCTTTTGGCTTGTAAGAATTCCCTTGAACTGTCCCATGTTTGCAAAATCCACCCCTTTTCAAATGAGTCTTTTCCCATCTTCCGTTTTTATTTTGACCCCTGACCCAAACCAAGGAGGCAGTGACCAACATGAACGTTTGGGTTCGGGAGGTGCATGGCCCCAACGGCAGTGCCCCGTGTGGGCCCTGGGTCTTGGGCTTGGTCCTGCTTTCGTTGCTGACGGCCTTCGGCGGCGCCTCGGTTGGGCCAGAACCGGTGGTGATCATCATGCCATCGGTGCTCTACGTGGCTGGGTGCTGCGAACAACATTTTCGCAGCATTTTTTTTCGCACCATCCTGAAAAATCTGAAGAATGGGATGTTGCTAAGCTGCTAAATGATTAAATGGGATGATGAGCCAACTATTTATGTTAATAATCATATATTTTGATCGGATTGAAACCACCCAACCAGGTCGGGATGGTGAAGAAATTACTGAACCCCTCAGTGCAAGTGTTGAGAGTGGCAGCACTGGCTGGGGGAGCGGGAGGTTTAGCCGCATTTTTTGGCCTGCCATTGGCCAGTGCCTTTTTTGCATTGGAAATTCCACACATGGATGGAGCTGAATTTGCCTTGGAGGCGTATTCTGCCTGTGTGGTGGCTGGAGTAGTTGGGACCATTGTGGGGCATTGCATCTGGGAGCCCTCCCAGCTCCTGGGCAACAGTCGCTTTTGGTTCCCTGGGGGCGATTCTCCTGATCAACCTCAGATCACGACCTCAGAGTTTGGCCTGGGTGCCGTGGCTATGGGGATTCTGGCCGGCATCATAGGTGGACTCACCTCCTATTTACTGGTGACTTTGATGAGGGGATGGCACCCCCTCTTTGAACACATCAAACACATCAAGCACCAGCACAGATGGAAGGCACTCCGCTACAGTGCCCTGCTGGCAGTGGTGGGCGCCGCAAATGCTGCTATGTCCTTCCTGTATCCCAGTGCTCTCTGGTGGGGTGAAGATCAGTTGCAGGTGGTCCTGACGCGGGGCTGTTCCTTCGCATCTAGGTTTGATCCAGAGCATTGTATATCGTTTTTAGAATGATTTTCTGCTTGGGAGTTTCGAAGACTTTCCCTTATTTGGGGTGTAAACCACCTTAGTGAGGCATAGCGAATTGTCTAGCTGAATGATTTGGTTGTGTCCAAAAGCAAGTCACAAATCCTCCAAAGTGGACTTTGAAATTGGAAGTAGCTCAAGATTTGATGTAGCCCAAGCTAGTTGTACGGAGTTGGGTGTGCCTTGTGGTATTTGAGATTTACCGACCAACATTAGCCCTCAAACTTGAGCGGCAGGCGTGTCTGGTTGCGATATACCCATAGTGTTCCATAATCCATAGATTTCGGCTACGAAAACAAACCACAACTGGCAAGTCACTGGACATTTTTAAACCAGGAATCAACAATTGGATTGGAAATTGGATTCCAATATATTCCAATATGGCTATGGATCAATACCTATACATACCATTTTTAGGGGGATGAACATCCATTTACCAGCTATTTTGATGTTCACCAGGGGGATAGGGTTTTGACACACTGCCATATGTTTGGTCAAAAATTGATGGATTTCGGTCAACATTTTCCAACCCGCACCCAGGGTGCCAAGATCTTTCCAGATTGCCAGCCTGTCAAGCTGAAGCACCTTGGAAAAATGCGGTTGGGAGACCATCCAGAGGTTTCACACTTTTCGTGGGTGCCTTCTCGGTGGGGGGTGCCTTCTCAACATTATCAATGTTACAACTAGTTACAACTCACTAACTTGATGCTACGCTTCAACTTGCAGACTCACTTGATTCGAGTAGCCTCGACTTGCAAAAACTCGCTTGATGATACTGGTAGATGGGTAGAGAGGAGGATAGCAGATTCAGGAGACATATTTGAAGAAACTTCTTAGGTAGAACGTATCCAGTGAGCGTCAAGTGTAGCAGTGTAGCTGTCACAGAACCATGGTTGCCAGCAAGGTGAATAAGCCCTGAAAACATTTTGGAGCTTCAATTGTATTGGGCCAACGCATGGCATGATTTCCCCCAAGGGAACTATGCACATTCAGTGTTTGCTCGATGAAACAATCAAAATACAATGGACTGACTACTTATATAGAACATGAAGAAATAAGCAACTATTTGCACCGTGGCCGAATATGGCAGGTGGAGCAAGTTACATATAGTCTGGGGTTTGATTTTGGTCTTCCCCATAAATTGGAGATGCAAATTCACCACCACCAGATGAGCTGAGTTGTGGATTTTTTGTTGGGGAAAACGGCCCCTCGAGTCTCAGGTATCTTTATGAAAAGCTCATCTACAAAGATGCCATTGTGGCCCACCCTGGAATCTCCATGTCAGGCCGTGAAATATGCAACAAGCTGATGTTTACACAGACCTTGAAACACAGACAAGCTTTACAACATCAAATTGCAGGCTGCATAAAAAAGAAACCACCTTAAATTACAGGATGAAATTACATGCAACAATAATTCCAATTGATTAGAACTAGGATTGCATATTATAACATGTGACTGGAATGACCAGCAAAGGAACGACCAACCCACCTGCCAGGCTGGGAGATGTTCGGCCTGGGTTTGGTGAAGCTGGTCATGATCAGCATGTGCGAAGGTGCTGGTGTGAAACCTAATGGGGTGACAAGGGAAGAAAAAAACACGATAAAAAACAACAGAAATGGAAGTTAGTCAACAAACACAACAACGAAGGACTTTACCCACAGAAAAACTTGGATTTACCCACAGCAAAACATCAGAGCACCTCTATATTTGCTCTGGTTTTGGTAGTCTTACCACTATTTTCCCAACCAGTTTCCCATCCAACTAGGAGGACTAGCTCCTTCAGGCGCGGGCTTTGTGGGGGGCCCCATCTATCCCATCATCTTCGCCACGGGCGCCATGGGCTCTGCCCTGGGCGCCACGGATTGGGTATCGATGCTGGGAGGGCAGTACGTCTACATCTGCACCGCTGCTGCCATGAGCACCGGCCTGGCTGCCTTGCTCCATACGCAGGACGGAACCGTGGAGGAAAGCTGCGGAACCATCAAATGGGGGTGTAACTGGGTGTAACTAATATGAATGGGACGGGATTAGAAGATCTTGGCAGCATGATAAAAACCATTATTTTTTTAGATAACGCAGGGGAACATAATGGGTGTTGTTGATGTTGTAGAACGCTTGCACACCGCTCAAACCTGCAGATGTCGTTGTTTGACAGAAGAGTTTGCCATGATCCTCAATCTCTCAACGGTTACTGTAGGCCTTCTGTGGTTCCTACATTTGTGGCTTCAACAGCTATATATGGATGTGGGTCAAAATGGAAGACCTAGGGGACCACAGATGTTAGTCTAGTTTAGTATTAACCATCCATAATTTTGGGGTACCTAATTTTGACCCATCCCCATATATATAAATATCCACATGGAGGTTTCCTAAGTCATGGGGTGTACCTCCAAAATCATCCATTCAAAAATCGGATTGTCCATCAAAAAAACCATCCAGCTATTGGGGGTATTCCTATTTATGAAAAGCCCCACATACTCCACATAATCCCTTCCCCACAATATAAAAAACCATCAGAAAACCATATTTTAGTAGGGGGTTTAAACACTTATTTGGGACCCTAAAGTTCAGGTGTTGTTCTTAAGGGGATCGGATGACCCAGCTTCTGACCCAGCGACCCATGGTTTGCTGAAGGTTATTTGGCTGACTTTCCCAATGGGAAATCCACCATTGTGGGCGAATCTTTTTGGAGATTTTTGGTGGATTTTTGTCTGGCCATCTTAAGCAAATCCAGCAAAAATCCACCAAAAATCCCCAAAAATCCCCAAAAATCTCCAAACAATCCACCAAAAATCCCCAAATCCATCATTCATAAAGGATCTGCATCCTTTCGTCCTAAAAAGCCGCTGGGCGTTTGGTCCGCCGTGACGTGAGGTCTTTGGGATTCTGATCGTCATGGAGTTGCAAGCGAATATCCCCCACGGAAGCGTGAGTTCCCAAACCATTGCGTTGATGACGGCGGTGTATTCTTTCTACCTGTTGCGTGGCTTTTGGATGGGTGGTCGAAATGTTAGTCGAAATGTTCGGGAATGTTGAGGTGTGAATTTCACGAAAATGGAAAGCTAAGGAAGAGCGTGAAAAATGATGATGATGGATTGATGGAATATAGATATGGAGGCTTCCTGACATGGCTGCACCCCCAAATCATCCATTTTGATTGGATTTTCCTGGATAAATCATCCATTTTGGGGTACCCTCATTTACGGACCCCCCCCGTATCATCAAATGAATTCGGATTTCAGCGCTGAAAAGGGCTCTGGACGGCAGCCTGGTCTAAGCCTGAATCGATAAGTTGGGGAACACATCCGGGTGACCTTGACACCCAGGCATTTCTATCTTTTCTCTATCCTTTCTGTTGTCTAAAGCTGCTCTGCTCCTTAAAACATCTTAAAACTATGGAGTGTAGAGGGCCCCAGCCCTGCCAAGGCTCACGCGAAACTATGTGACTTGGCCAAGAGCTTTGGACCCTTTCGCATCATTTGGATCTTTCTCTTCAATATCTTGGTGAGAATGGCGGAATGGCATGATTGTTACTAGTTATCATGGATCATTCCCCCCATTTCTAACTAAGCACCAGTAAGTTTTTTTTTCCCCGGATTACAAGGAGATGCGAATGTCAAACCATGCCCAACCTGAAAGTTGCTCGGGTCTCCACAGCCATTCCATGCTGCAGGTGGCACCTTACTTCCAGTTGGTCTCGCAACAGAAGCCGCGGGAGGATCTGCAATACCTGACTCCCGAGCCCGAAACTCAATCAGACACAGAGGATGACTCCGACACCGATCTGGAGATGGCACCTTGGACGCTTTTTTATGTTGGCTTTGTGAATGGCGCACACTAGCAGAGGGGATAGGGCTCGAGAGAGGACACTGCTATGCCCCGATTCTGTACTGCTTCGGCAGGGATCTAGGATTCAAAATAGGCAGATCACCACATATTCAGTGTGTATCAAACAACCGTCTATGTGCGTTGTGAACGGATAGAACCATGTGCTTTGTAAAGGAGAATATATTTGCAATGCATAGTTGTAGAAATGACACATGGTTATACAATATCCAACACAAGATGTGTTCATGTGCGTAGCTACACACATGCAGCAATGCATGGTGTGTACATGTACAATTACATCCTACTTGTATGTGTTTAAATCTTTGCATGCATACTATAGCTGTACATAGCATTTACTGCTGTCAATCCATCTTATCCAAGGGGCACCCCATTTTTGCATGACAGGAGCGAGTGCGAACCGAGACAGAGGTAGTGGGCACGCTTTCCGAAACCACTGGCAGTGATGGTGATGAAGTGGAGCCAAAGTCAAGCAAAAGCTCCAGGACTTGGGACAGGAATCATCTCCAATCCATGGATCAAAATGGGCTACCCTCTGCTAATTAAGCGTGGCAATTGAACATCCTATGTGTATATATATATATATATTTATAGTTTTTATTTGATGGGAAAACCGTTTCCATTGCTATTTCAGGTTTGGGAAGTATTTTAAGGTGCCCAGATGCATTGGGTCATGATTTTCGTGGTTTGGAATGCCACTGAATTTAGTCAATGCAATTGGCCCAACATGGTGGTTGCTTGTGAGTGCGAGTGTGCTAGGGACATGCCTAAGCGGCTACAACCCCTACTTACTGGCTACAGCAACTGGGTCATGACCCATTTTGACGGGGATATTTCATGGGATCTACCCCAGTTACTGAGCACTCATTCGACAGGAAAGCCACTTCCATAGCACGCTTTTTGCTGCAGGAAACCATCCACTCCGCAAATCTAGCAGCAGGGCACACCCTGAGGTGGTTTCCTTCTGCGATTCTTAATTCACCAGATGACCGAGGGTTGAGACATTCGAAAAGATCACAGGATGTCAGACGTCTTGACACGTGGAAACTTCAAATGGACACGCTGCAAACCAGTTCAGTATTCTACTAAGTTTGAAAACGTTTGAAACATGTTGACACCTGTTTGAGTGGTTCAGTGCTAGATCAGCAAATGATTTCAACCCCTCGGCCGAAATGTTTGATTCACAAATTGGCCCGGACAGTCCGCTGTCAAGATCCGCGTGGAGCGACCGGGAAAATGGACGTCTAGTGGCGATTGCAGGTTCCAAGCTTCTTAGATCCCGTAAACCTTTGGGTTGTTTTTTTTGAGTATTTTTGGCATCAAACTGTACAATTCATTTGGGTTCCCACCCTAACCTCAGAAAACCGTCTCCTTGCCTTTTTCTCAAAAGTATCAACTAGTTTGTTTGTTGGACCCCGCTTTTGCTTTGGAGTGCTCTACCAACAAGTCCAGATTGGATCATTTGGGAGCAATGACAATGCACAGGTGGCATGCTTTGAATTGAGATCTGGGTATCTCTGGGTAGTGAAGGTTGAACATTCGCAATCAATGTTGCGGGGGTTTCCTGTAGTAGATATTGTGGCTTACCTCTTGCAGATCGGTGTTGATCAATACTGTCAAGCAGGTGAACGACAGATTTTAGTCATTTTTAGTTTTGTCTTTGATTTTGAACCCCGTGTGATCATATAGAGGTTTCCTGAAATTGGTGGTACCCCCAAATCATCAATTTTAATAGGATTTTTAATTATAAACCAGGTATAAACCATCCATTTGGGGTACCCCCATTTGTGGAAACCCTCATATCTATATGTACATATATTCACGTATAGCGTATACCGTATCCATTCCCCACATTGTTGATGACCACACCTGCTTGGAGAGCCATGATTTTGACCTGCTTGTCATGCAGTGCCCCACCATTTGCCCCCAGGAATGTGGTGGCTTAAATCCCAAGTCTTGTTAGGCAGATTCCTTCATTGATCGTTGAATTCTCATGTTTGGTGCTGAAATCCGAATTTTCACACTATAAAACCCTTGATGTTTTTTGTTCTGAAATGGCATTTGCTGAATCACATCCACAAACCAGCCATAGGCTGGCATTTTGGCGTGAAAATCAGGGGACGAGAATTTTGAGCCATACACACACCCCAAAACGACCAATAGCTTTCCGTGGTGATGAAGTGTTCTGAACAAAAACCAAATCCCAAAGAATGAAGTCCCAACTTGTTTTCTTCCCAGTTTTCTCCAATGGTTTTTCCTCTTTTTCAGCTTCTGCCATTTGTTTTCCGTTTTCCACACGGACCCGTTGCATTCTCACTGGGCCCGCAACGCAGGCCTTGTGCCGCGACGTCTTGGGCGATGACTTCGATGGGCAGCACCAGGAGGGCTACGACAAAGATACCTTGCTGCGGGTGGAGAATATGCTGCTGACGCTTGGTGTTGATCAATTTATCTGGGTAAATTATAACGACCTCACTGCGACCTCACTGGAAATCATGGTTAGTAAGGGGAATCATCCCCAAATGGCCTTAATTCAGGTTAGTGAAATATTATAATTTACCCAGATTTATGGGGGATTTCGCGAAAAAGTTTGGGATTTCGCTGGTAAACATTGGGAAAAACAAAGATTGGGAATAACATTGGGATAAACATGGGGATAAACATGCTGTTGAAGCTTGGCGATTGGTGGCTGTTGACTCTCATTATCACTGCGATGAACAACTGGTATATAAACATGAGGAGCTTTCACATATGCCACTTGTTAAAAACCGGGAAATTAACTTGTCAACACGGGAATTTGACGACTATGAAGGACATATTATATGGGATCCTTGATAATTATCCGCATTTTTTTCCGGCTTCAAGTGGCTAGACATCACCTGAAATGATAGGTTGATCCACATCCAACTTTCAAAAATTGGGATCGAAGTAAACAAAATCATGTGGGATGAACATTCGCAAACGTTTGGATTTAACATGAAAAGAAATTGGATCCAACGATCAAAGGTGGAGATATGACAATTGGTCAAAAACTATTTTTTTCTCCTTAAATAATTGTTTTTCCATGGATGAATATCCATAAGACAGTTCAGCACCAGCCATTGTGATGCGAACTAGAGGGTACCAGTTTTTTTGATCCATTGCCAGAGTCGCTAGATCCAAGTCCCGGTGTGTCCAGGGGTTAAAGATCACCTGGAGTGACGTTGAAATAGTGATGGGGACCTCTTAATTCAACCTTCGTATTGAGTGGATTCATGAAACACCGCTGTCCTTTCAATAAGGTTCATAGATAGGGTAGAAAAAAAATCTTTGGGATTCCTTGGGGCATGTGACAGTGGTATACTTTCAGCGTAACCCATCAGAAACAAATGTGGTTCAATGGAAAATGACAAGTGAAAGGGGCATTCCCAAGGTCCCCAAGGACCTGTGTAAGGGAGCGGAAGTCATCAACTGTACCCGGATAGAACCAACCCTTGGTGTTGATCTTTCAGGCGAAGTTGAAAGGCAATGGCTTTCTAGACTCATCCTATTATTTAAGGGCTTTCCCTGCATTTCTGCGTGTTGTGAATCTATCTGGCCAGACACCATGAATTTCCCTCAAGATTCTATGTGTATATTATGTATATATATATATCTGGGTAAATTATAACGACCTCACTGCGACCTCACTGGAAATCATAGTTAATAAGGGAAATCATCCCCAAATGGCCCAACAATTCAGGTTAGTGAAATATTATAATTTACCCAGATATATGTCATAAACTAGGGTTCTTTTTGGTGCGAAAACCACGGTACACGAATTTCGACCCATGACCTTATGGGCACCAAACGTGACCTGGGAACCGTGACGACCTGGATGACCATAGAATCAGTACTTGCACTTTTCTGACCATGCAATTTCTCTTTAAAAACATGCCATTCAGAAATGCTACATTCCAGCCAGCAACTGGTATATTTCGTTGGTTTCAATACATCCCGAAATATACCCTCTGGTAAACTAACGTAACTATGGAAAATCACCATTTTTAATGGGAAAATCCACTATAAATGGCCATTTTCAATAGCTACGTTAAATTACCAGAGGGTATGTTCAACTGACCCTATGGGATGGTGATGATAGCATCTGCCGAGGATGTATGGTGCGGGCAAGCTGTTGTTGAAGGACACGGTGTTGGAGATGAAAGCCAACCGTCGCTATGGCGTGGTGGGCCACAACGGTGCCTTCGAAGTCGTCGAGTTGTCGTCGAGTTGTCGTCGAGTTGTCGTCTATGGTTTTTGTTTGTTTTTTTCAAACCCCGAAGTGGCGGAAAACGTATGGGTCAACACTGTGGAGGTTTGCTTGGGAAGGCAGCTACTCATGTTCAGGGGTATTGTCACCTGCCATCCCACTTCACGAGAGATTCGCGGTGGCTCAATGCTTAGCAAATTGATTCATGGTTCCATAGGGTATTCCCATAGGAATCCTTTTGTTGGAACTGGTTGCAAGTTATAAACGGTTTTTCCTATTTAGGGGACTTATTAAACAGGGTTATTTAGCACTTGCGATCCGTGGGGTTATGCTCTTTGGGCAATCCTCATCCAGTTGGACACGCTGGCAACACAGGTGCTGGCAAGACTACCCTGATGAAGGACCTGTGAAATACCCCCATGGGAATTACTCCCATTGTACAGAGAACTTGACGGTTTCAATAAAACTCAAATCCACTTTTCATGCCCCAAATCCGTTGAAAAGAGTGTATCATATTTTATGGAGGTATACTTGAGACCAACACATTTATCTTGGGGAAGCGAGAACGATGATGAACTCAATGGGAATGCGTTAGGGTGGGCAAACACACTTGCTGGTCCTCACAGGCACCCCCGAACTCGATGGTTGATCATCATCTTTCCATTGAAATCGCCATTTTGGGTACCTCATTTCCAAATACAGCTGTATTCAATGGATTGGTTTAAGGGAACATTTACAGGAAAGCCCCATATTTAATGGGAAAATCTATGGTTTCCTGTAGATTTTCCCTTAAACCAATCCATTGATATATGTTCAGATTCTTCTGGCAGTTCAACGATTTCATTGATCCTTCCATGGTGCCCGCGATCTTGCCAAGGAAACTAAGCCGTGTCCTAGTCAAACATCATGAGACTCAGATTGGATCACTCAGCATCGAGAGTCTTCCACAGCACGCTGCATGAACTGCAAGCTCACATGGACTTCAGCGACCCTCAACACTACCCTACTACCAGTTTTCTTGCAAACATAGCAACCAATTTCATACAAGTCAACTCTTAAAACATCAGGTCATCAGGGGCAATCAGTGTGTGATGTTCATCTTGGGATAGCGACTTCCATCCTGTTTTTCTGATGTTCCTTCGATTCTGGTGATGTTGGTAGGAGATTGTGGCGGGTCGCATCGTGGGAATGCCCACGCACCTCCGATGTGTGCACGTGGATGACTCGAAGCTAGGTGGGGGTCCAACCTGTGGCACGGCACTGGGTTCTTTTTTTGAAACACGAACGAAGCAACCAAATATATCCAAATTATGTATATGTAATATAATATATTATAGAAAATAATATATATATATAATATAATATAATATAATATAATATAATATGCATATGTATAATACAATATACATATATAATATACATATACATATACATAACATATACATATACATATACATATACATATACATATACATACACATACACATATACATATACATATATAATAAATATAATATAATATAATATACTATAATATAATATAATATTATATGATATGATATCATATGACATGATATATATATATATTATAATATATATATAGATATATTTATAAATAAAAATAAATTTAAATATATAATATATAACATAATATATATATATACAGTATAAGTTAGCTAAAGTGAGAGTTTCGCCATGATTTAGCCATCGATACGATCTATTTTTCGGCACCTCTATTGATTGGGTGAAAGGACTTGGAATCGTTGGACATTGGAAGATTGAAAGATTGAAAGATCCGAGTAGCAGTTGATTTGGTTCATGACTGCGGTAAACCAAAAAAGCAAGTACGAAAAAAGACGGACTCAGTCAGCTTTTTTGAATACCCCAAATGATAAAGTTCGTGAATTAGATGTAAACAGTAAACCCTCAAGAGGATAGACAGGGTCAATTTCACCGGTATCCTTCAGTATTTCAGAAGTGACGATGAGCGGCGACTCCAGGAGAGATGAGCAAGAGCAGCTTGAACGCCTTGGAATATGTTCCTTGGACGGAAAAAAGGGGCTTTGGTACCCTCTGGTAAACATACAACAAACTATGGAAAATCACCATTTTCAATGGGAAAATCCACTATAAATGGCCATTTTCAATAGCTATGTTAAATTACCAGAGGGTACCTGAAACAGTTGGGAAATCACTGTACCGATTTTTTTTTTGGGTGGCTAAAGTGACATTTTCATCAACTAACCCCAGGGGGGTCTGAAAAGATCTTGGACAACCACGGGTGAATCTGATGTTCCCTGTTACCCTTCGGTAATTCAACATAGCTACCCACTGGTTATTTAACATAGCCATGGAAAATCACCATTTTTAATCGGTAAACCATCTATAAATGTGCCATTTTCCATGGCTATGTTAAATTACCAGAGGGTATGGAAAATGGTCCATTTAGTTCGATGATTTACCTACTAACAATTGCGACTTTCCTTAGCCATGTTAAATTACCAGAGGGTAAAACGACCATACATCAGGGATATGTCGAATTTTCAGACACACCCAGGTACGCTCGTAGTTTCTTCAGCACCTGGGTGAGTGTCTACGCAGATGTCACGATTTTTTGTATGCATATAAGAAAACTACATGGAGATGTTTGTTAACGGTTCGACTGCAGCCATTCATTCAGTCATTCATTCATTCGTTTGTTCGCTTGTTCATTCCTTCATTCATTTGTTCGTTCTTTCATTCATTCATCCATCCATCTTGCTGGCTCCCTTTGAAATTGCAGAGAAATTAGGTTTCACTTCAGTTTTTGGGTGGTTGAAGCTTCATAGATTCATTACAGACTACTTTCTTTGTTGATTAACCTCCCATTTGGTTTGACTAAGCGGCTCTTTTCGTTGGATCAGATCCAAACGGTGGATGCTGGAAAATCACCCCAGCCACGTTTGATGACACCGACGGGTATATGGGTTAAATGGTTAAATCATATTAAATCCCCATCTATTGTTAAACATTGTTTATTGTATTCCATGAAATATCTCTATTGTAGTTGGTTAAATCCCCCTTTCTCTCCATGATTCATTGGTGAACTTCCATCTGTCCCTATGATTTTTTCCATATTTTTCCAGATCTGACATCCCCATTCTACCACCAGTTTTCGATGGTGAAACTCCTCTGTGACCCTGCTCCAGGTCCAAATGAAAGCCCTGGAGCAGGGTGTGACGGATGCCTCTGCGGAGAACCTGCGAAAGGTGGGCTTTCCTGAGAAGATGCCAGAGCCCAAGGGCGGAGTCCGCTTGGAGCTTGGGGGTTGGAGGTTCACAGCCAGAAGTTCTACCTGGCCTTGCTGAGTTCATTGGTTTCCATGTTTTTCTGAAGATCATGAAGCGTCTGAGATGAATCCGACTTGATTCGTTTTGGGGGGGAATGGGGCACGTGAAGTGCTTTCTGAAGGAACGTGTTGTAGAAATTGGCAGGGAAGATGCTACTGTCATCATTCACCACTTAGAACTCCCCTAATTCCTGGTTTTCTCCGATGTGGAACTTGGCGACTGGGTTTGCTGGTGACACCCAAGTTTTCGCTAGCTCGTTTTTGCTGCTTGAAACCATCTTTTTTTGCTCCCAGGATTCCTGCTCGCATGTGCATCCCATTTGGCAAGTGATTTACAGATCAGTGGGGATAGTCTATTTCAGCCGCTTACCCACGATGCAAGGCTATGCACCCCGCAAGGTCAAACCTCCCATTTCCTGGCTTCAAGCCCCACTTTTAGCGGCCTACCCTCTTGCAATTCAGCATCGCCATGGAGAATTGCCCATGTGTAGATGATTTACCATGGCTATGTTAGACTACCAGAGATTAACCAGCGCCATTTTTCACCAACTATGTTAAGCCGTGCACTTGGCTAGAGTCAATGGCAAAGTGTGTGTTTTTCTTTTTATTCTCCCAATCATTACAAAGGTTTGGATGAAATAAATACAGATGTAATCATATGAATTCTGTGGTTGTGTATTTTCTGGATATTTCCTACTTAGATGGTTTTTTTTGGGTCAATTATGAGCATTTTTTTCAGGGGAAATAAAGAATAATAAACATCCAGCTATGCCAGCTATGACAGCTATGTTTTTGGGTTCAGGTTCGAGGTGCCAGTGGCCGAGTTGTCCACCGGTTGGCGCATGCGTTTGACCCTGGCAGTGTGGCTGGGTCGCGGTTTGAGCGAGCGAAGCCATGGCTGGGTAGTGACTTAGTGGTGATTGAAACCTCTAAAGAATGGTGGTAGAATGGGAATTCCGGCCAAAAACTTTTAATTGATATGAGAAATGGTTTGGAATTTCATTTCCAGCTTGGAATTTCTGAGATGGGATGGTAATTGCCTTATCTGGGACACGCGCATGTTGTGGGCTAGAATCCTGGTAGCCGTAGCCTGGTGACCAAATTTTTCACTCCGACTTTGACAGGTCCAACTTTGCTTCAGGGAACTGTTGGAACCCCATCTAATGCCGACATAGAAACCATCCAAGTATGATTTTTTCGGAGCTCATGGATGACCGGAAACATTTTTTTTTGGTGTGTTTTTTTCCCGAAAGCGTTCCGATGGAACATTTGATCCATGGATATCCATGGTATTGTGCCTATATTATCATAATATATTATTATCATTATCATTATGATTATCATCATCATTATAATAATAACAATGACAATATTACCAACATTATCATTATCATCATAATCATTATCATCATTATATATCATTGTTATTACTATTAAAAAATGAGCTATTTGAAAAAACATTACTTCCAAAACTATTATGATCATATGTATATATATATGGTTATTTTTCACATAGCTATGGAAAAATCCACCATGCTTTTAAGTTCGGTAACCCATCTATTTCGATTAGGGTCATCTTATACCATGGCTATGTCAGCCTTTCCGAGCTGTTGATCGACCCTGGGCGTGGGCCAGGTCCATGTTGAAGCACGCCGACATCGTCCTGCTGGATGAGCCCACGAATCACTTGGACCAGGAGGGGGTTGACGATCCTTCAGAGAACTGACTGGTTATTAATGGTGGTTGATGGTTATTAATGGCTAGTGAATGGTTATTAATGGTGGTTAATGGCTAGTGAATGGTGATTACAAGAATGATTGATGCGGGTAAAACAATGCCATAGAGCACCCATGACTGGGAATTATATGTATAGATATGGGGTTTTCCATAAATGGGGGATCCCCAATAGCTGGAAGGTTTTTTTGATGGAAAATCATATTTTTAAATGGATGATTTGGGGGTACCCCCATTTTAGGAAACCTCCATGTGGGTAGAACAATGCTATTTGCGTCATCACCATTTTTATAGGTGGTATAAATAAACCATGCCCAGTCATGGGTGGTTAATGACATTGTTTTACCCACATTACTCTTTTAAATGACTGGAGGGTAGATCAAGTCATTTAACTGATATCTCTGATGCTATGATATGGTTGCTACCTCTACATTCTATCTATAGAATTATATATACACACAATGCGGCAATCAAACACGGCAATGGAACATCCACCAATTTTTTTGGATGATTTCCCCCATTGAAACCTCCATGTATAGTAGATTGCCCAGTGCTATGTTTGATGACACTGGTCTTCGTTGCTATCGCGACATGCCTGGCAGTTGGGCATGTGATTCTTGCTGAGGTAAATTTGGTGATAAACCAACGTACAGAACGTCAATCAGCTATATATATATATAATATATCAACAATAAATCCACATATTTGTTGGTGATATCAGCTATAAATCCTTTTTTTTGTTGGTTAATGAGCTATGAATCCACATTTTTGTTGGTGATATCAACTATAAATCCACATATTTGTTAGTGATATAAACTATAAATCCACATATTTGTTGGTTAATCAGCTATGAATCCTCACATTTGTTAGTGATATATCGACTATAAACCCACATATTTGTTGGTTAGATCCCCATGTTTACAGGCTAACAGGCTCGAACTGTGGCACCGCAGGAGTCTGTGGATTGGCTGGGCGACTACCTGTTGCAGCTGACCAAATCCTCTGTGATGGCTGGGCATTCTCAGTGCAGACGTTGGTGAATAGGAGGTTTTTAGATTATATGAGCCATTAAAGATACCATAGTTGAGAGGTTATTTTAAGGGGATTATACTATCTGGTTCAATGGGGATTATAACAAACCATAATAGGGATAACTATTAGCCAACCAGTTTTTTTTGGGATGGGAAACGGGGAAAATTTTTCATGGCTCATGGCTGGGATTTTTTCTAACCAAGTGGTTCCACTTCATCATCAACCAATCATGATTATCGTAGCCTGTTTATCATAAACTAACATATCCCCTGGTAACCTGTTACATAACTATGGAAAGATCCACCATTTTTAATGGGTAAATCCACTATTTCTATGGCTATTTTCAATAGCTTTGTTTGTTTACCAGAGGGTAAAACATGAGTTGGTTGATGATTAGTTCTGGGATTATACAACCCTTAACAAAATTGGGGATTACAGTTTTTTTTGGGATTAGACAAGCCAATATTTACTATATGGTCATTTTGTGGCAGATTCAAGCTCTAGACATACTCATATTTTGTGGCAGTATCATGCACAATCTTGATCATCTATTGGAATAGATTTCTTTAAGTTGATTCAAACTTGCTCTTCGCTTTGTAGATCAGAGGATGTTTGGTGCTTTCGAGGGTGAATCATAGAATTGGATGATGGGAACATTTACAGGAAACCCCTATATTTGATGGTAAAAACCCATGGGTTTCCTGTTAAGATTTTCCCTTAAACCAATCCATTGAGTGAAGCTTGATGTGCCCCATGCAAAGTCCTCCAAAGACAGCAGTATCCAATATTGCCGGGCCGCGAGGTCATCTCCCACGAACCGAAGTTCCTGAATAAGATCTGCACAGCTTCTTGGATTTGGGTTTGAACATAGGCTACCCTCTGGTAATTTGTTACATAGCGAACTGGGAAGATCCACTATTTTTTATGGGAAAATCCACTATTTCTATGGCCATTTTCAATAGCTATGTGACAAATTACCAGAGGCTACCCCTACTGTAAATCCATTGAGTCATCATTATCCCCAAAGGAAATTGCCCAAACTTGGGGGGACACCCATTGGACCATTTATTCTTTGCTCATTCTTCTGGCCAAATGGTAACAATTTTAGCCTGTGGCGTTGGCATTTTCAGCTTGGGGTACCACGTAATTTGGCACAGCGTGTGAGAGGTGTGTGCAGTGTCAACCCCGCATTTTGCTGGAATCCTCTGGTGATCATGAGGGTATGAACTCACAATTTTGGGGTGAACCATGGTGAACCCCCTAATTAATCAAGCAGGGTTTATGAATTTGGGGTTGACATTACATGATATGGGTATGCATCCAAACCTACCACATCATGTTTTGGGGGGATTATTTATATCCATAAACCGCAGCTATATTTTGCTGTGAAAAACCCAGAACATCCCATGGGTTTTCAACCCATATCCACTTTCACCTAACACCCGATTTCGATTTTTTGCCTTGGACATAAGGCTCACGTAAACTTGAGACTTGGAACATCTGTCCATGCAAGTATGACTACAGACCATGTATGTACATTATGAGTATTCCTGAATTCGAAGTGTATATGCATCTCAAGATGAATTTTTTCTTCTATGGGCATCCTGTTTCATTCTTGTTTGACAGCCCCTTCCCGGCCCAACAAGTGGTCGGACCAGCGCTTTTTGAGCTGAGGACATCATCTCCTACAAAGACAAAGCGCTGGTGTACACCGCCACTTGCCTTGCCACAAAAAAAACCGAAAATATCGTGGATGCTCCAGCTGGGTAAATGATAGCCACGTTTTTTTTTTGGGGTAGGTCAATATTTACCCTCTGGTAATTTGTTACTGTATTTTACCAGGTCAACCGACAATGGGGTAAAATCCGCTAAGCTGCTAGCACTTTTGAACCAACGCTACAGAGTAGTACGATGATATGTACACTACATGGTTTTACTGCAGGAGTTTTTACACCCCCCTCGGGCGAGCAGGGACGACTGCGGAGAACGAATAACCCAGAAAAGCATACCCTCGCGGGTAGCCAAATTTCTTTAGTTGGTTTTGAACATTTTGTGCAGTCTTTCAAAGGTCCCTATAAAAAGCTCAAGCCCGTAAAACCCAGCGCAGCTTTGCAAGGAAGGCACATTACCATGCCGCATCTTGCGCTATGCTACAAAAGAAAATCATCGTCTACCTGCGGTTCCAATAGATCCACCGGCCGCCGGCCTCGTCACGGTAATACCAAGCCCCACGCCAGAAACTCCATTCTCGGCGTGCACCATAGTGATCACGATTCCAACTCCAAGAGGCATCCGGGCGACCGGAGCTTGCAGCCTTCGATGTGACTGTGCTTGCTGCTTTTGCAGTAGGCGGCGTCTCAGGCTCCAAGAATGGTCGTGCTCCTGCTTTGGATGTTGGTGGTTCGGGTGCAAGAAATGGTGCATTGTTGGGATCAACTGGGGCATCAGCGTGCGAGGCGTCTGCGCGAGCAGAGCTTGAGGCGGCTGTGTCAGCATTTGCGGTGGCGGATGCATCAGCTTCGGCTTTGCGCTTTCGCTCAGCAGTGGGCGCGACCGTGGGGTCGGCCTTGTGACCTCCAGGACCTCCAGCCTTTGCTGCGGCGCTCTGCTTCTCTTTGCGTTCAAGGTTGCCCCGAACCAATGGAAGGTTTTCCTCATACACCTTTTCGAGGAATTCAAGAGTGCCATCAAAAGGAACTTGGACAGTGCCCTTCCAGGTCAACAGGCCACGGTATGCGCCACGACGGCCGATGTAGCTGACATATTCATCCTCTGTAAAAACGTGGCGGCCGAACATAAAACCCCAGACCTTTTTCCATGTTTTGCGGAACTCAACTGGGAACCCATCCACGCCTCGGGGCTGTGACATGAAAATCAGCTTGGATAAGCAGCTTTCATTTTGGGCATTGGCGGCGACGCCAGCCGAGACCTGAGCTCTAGTCCTTGGGGGATCGGGGAGGTTGCCGTATGCAAACATATCATCAAAGATACAATCCTGCAGGCCCTTCCCCTCACCGTGGATGCGGTCGCAAAAAGTGACATCGCTGGCGAATCTGTCTTCCACATCCTCATATCCCAGCGCTTTTGCACGTCGATGCCTATCGCGGCAGTCTTTGAGGACTGCTGATTCCACGGATGTGATTCCCCTGGGGCCCAGTTCCCGGCGAAGAAGATCGGCTTGCTCATTTGTCAAAGCCGTCAACAAGGTGCCGCTCATCTTCCCATACATTCCGAACCCGGCGAGACTCTGCATTCGCCGTTCAAGGATGCGGGTCCTTCTGTTGGATCTGTCGGCCTCTTTTGTTTCGCCACTTTCGTCCACTGGGAGTGGCTCATATCCACATGTGGTGCATGTCACTTGGCCACTGACGTACTCAACCTGGCAGAGGGGGCATGAGCCCATGAAAGGTTCGCAGTACTTTGGTGCAATGTAAACACGGCGCGTCCTTGCGGACGGCTGGTCAACTTGCATTGGTGCAGTGGCTGCATTATCAGTGGACGTGGCATCGGGTCGCCCCGTGCTGGTGTCATCCATTGGGTCGTCATTTGCATCATCTCGGGCAGTCAGGGTGACCGCTGTGGATCTTGGTGCTGAGGCTGATTCCGCGCCTGTCCATGAACTGGGCTCGAGATTGCTCTCGGCGCGGGACCAAAGCACCTGTCCATCTTCTGAGATGCCGACCAGAAACTGCGGTGGGATGCGTTCTGAACACAAAATACCATCCATTTCTGTGCGACTAAAGATGACACCATCTTCAACTGCTTGCCGCATTGCGACTTTGACTTCGACTGGACATTTTGCTCTTAATCCAGATCGATATCCCTGTGTGCCGATACAGTGTTCTGCCATGTAGATATGAGCACGGCCACTGTCGACTGTGTCACCGCCGCCTGGGATCAGGCCGTTCTGTGCGATGCTCTTCCAACTGCTTCTCATCGTACGATGAAAAACAATTTCAGGGACCTCAGTCATGGCACACAAGGGCACGCCAGTGAAGGCGGCTTTTCGCTCGGGGGATACTTGGTTTGAGCAATACACCATGGTTGAATTGGCATAAAGGCCCCCGGCGGTTTTCAAGGCAGCTTCGGAGTGACCCTGAATTGCACGGATTTTCACAGGGTAATACGGCATGCCTAGGCCATTGTCGACAGGAAAATGGGAGATCTTTGCACACAAGAATTGGAACCTACTCTTGCCATGCTTGTCGATCTTCATTGCGGTGCCAAACAGGTTTGCGACGGTGATGAACACATCTGGGGGCACTTCCTTGCGGAAGGCTTTGGCAAAATCCTCCAAGTCAGTCCAAAGGTCTTTGTCCATTGGCACCTTGGAACAGGATCCATGCCCCCTGCAAACTTTGTTGACACGAGTTGCAAAATCGGAGAATTTCTTGTCGACGCGAGTCTGGCCTGCAATGGTCTCAACGTCGGATGCCGATATCAGCTCCAGCTCATAAGCCGTACCTTCAAAGAGGATCCCGGGCACATCATCCCCGTCTGCATTGGTCACCATTGTATATTGGTATTCAGGCAAATGCTCTTCCATCCAATATGCTTTCACGTGGCCGGATGCATGTTCCTCTAAGCGCGCGGTTGCCCGCGGCTGGTACTGGCTGGATGTGGCTCTCTTGTCATCTGCGGGCTCATCCACTGGTGCTGGTGCTGCTTTCGGTCGCGACTTCAACATGACCTCAGCCGTTTGGACCAGGATTGTTGCTCTGCTGGATGCAGCGGGCTCGCCGTCGCCGGCGGCCTTTGGAGGGTCATCTTTGGGAGGCTCAGCAAACGTGCCAGAAGGCAACGTCTTGGTGTCGATGTAGTCCTCGGTGTCTGGTTGTTGAGCTTCGACGTCCTCCTTGGTGAATGACCTGCCCGTCGGCGTGATGTGTCTTCGGGACTCTCCAAAAAGCAACTTGGTGATGTTTGCACATGTCTCCTGATAGGATCTTGGCAGCTCGTCCAGGACGGCGCTCATGTTCCTCCGCAAATCATCCCATGTTTCCTGGCCACACTCAGTAAGCTGCAAACCAATCCGACCAACCCGCCAGCCGCAATCAATTGCGAAAAGGGTAGCTGTCCAATAGGCAGCAAGACGCGTGCGATTTTCTTCAGAGTTGGCGAAATGCCACTGGTCTCTGAATTCCATTGCATCGGCGTACCCCTTTGCTTTCAGCCACGGATACTTCGGATTGGCAAGCCCTTGCAGGCTGCTGGTAAGAGCTTTAAATCGAGGCTCCAATACATCAAAGAACTGGTCAAAGATAGGATGGATGCCATAATCAGCGGACCAAGGCGCGGTCGTGAGACCGGCCGACTGCAAATCCAACTCACGGGCCTTGTTGATGTACCAAGTCAAGTGGCGCTCACAATCATCCAGGATCGTGGGCCAGTGCCCGTTGGGGCCGTCGTACGGCCAATTTGGATTTTGGGCGATCCCATCCTCTCCTACCAATTCATTTCCGAACCAGGACAAATGCAGGTTGATGCGTGCATCAGGGTAGCGCTCGCGGGCGTCCGCGGCCAATTCAATCCCACGCTTGACCAGCTTCTGCAGAGTTTTGCCCCAAAGCATCTCATGGATGAACTCAGTCACATACTTAGGTTTGCGCTGCCGGTAATGCTCGGACAGGTCAAACTTCTTAAGTGTTTTCCTACGCCCTGTGATCAATGCACATGACGAGTCAGAGACTAAGATCCAGATTACTTCACTGACAGGCATCTCTGGCAACATGATCTTTTCAATGTGGGACTCCTTTGGCAAAAAGCAGAAGCTAAGGTATTCTGCAAGCGGATCCTCTCGACCATAGAACCTCAGGGCCGAAGCCGGCGTCCATTCAGTCATCAATCCATCCACGAGGTCCTGAGCAGCCTGATTCTCACCTTCATTGCGCATGGCCAATGCATACAAAATGCGATTGTGAAGGAGCAACCATGCTTCTTTGTTAGCCTCACGTGTGGCTTCGAGCGCAGCCTCGCGGCTGGCCGGGTGTGCTGTGGCATATCGCGAGTCAGCCATTTTAGCAGGACAGGCACGAATGACAGCGGGTGAAATCCTTTTGGATGTTTGGCCCACCACAGCTACCCGGAAACACTCATGGAGCATGTCGGTCAACTTGAAGGTATAGTTCTCAGCAAGTTTAAGAGCTTTGCCCCTACTTTGATCATGCTCATGTTTGCCATCACATTTGAATGAGTCTAACACAGCGAGTTCTTTGAAGTTTCCTGCAATAGTCCAACTTTTCTTCATTGGTTGACCGTTGTTTCCAAGAACACCCAACATACAACCATCAAAATGATGAGTAGTCATGGAACGTTCTATGAGGAATTTTCTAACCATCGGCCATCTCCAATATTTGCAATTCTTGGACAGTTCGAATGCTATCAAGGTTCGTTCATCATGAACTTCATCCACAAGTTTGACAAAAGATTTGAACAACTTGGTAAACTGTTTTTGTTGCTCTTTGATTCTTTCTTGACCCTCAACAGTAAGGCCATTCACATTCCCCCATGGGCTACCTCCAACGCAAGGCAACGATGCATAGAGTATCAAAGTGCCGTCATTGAAATCATTTCTGAAATCTTGGACTTGGGAGGCTAGCCGTTGCCGACAGCTGTTAGTGGTACCATCTTCTTTTTCGGTAACCCTAATGCAGTGGCAATCTTCATTGGACTTTCTTGGGGTACTAAGCTTTGAATCGTCAGAGCAGCAAAAT